TTTTTTATTACATGCACACTTCTTGGAGAGTGCGTCCTCATCTTGGGCTTCAAGTTCTCCTGTAGTTAGGTCCCTGTTCAGGCGCCACTTCTTGCAGCCTGCACCAGCTCATCCTAGGAACCTAACTGGGAGCAATGGGAGATTGAGAAAAGACAAAAGACAAACATGCAGAAAGCTGGGGTCAGGTGGGCTGGGCGCTTGGACGGAGACAACACAACAGCTGGACACAACAGTGAGTTTATTATATACAATGGTAAACAAAGAAATAGAGCAACAGTTCTGTGGGGGGGGGCGTGACATTGTAGTTCTCGGAAATGGGGGAACCTGCAATCGCTACCCTCTGGACGTAAACATCTTAGGAAAAGCAGCTGTGCTGCATTTTGCCCTCACTCCCTTCTGCAGCTGTGGGCTGTGCCAATCCCAGCCTGCAGACATGGCTGTGCTCATGTCAAGTTCTCATAGGCTTCTCACACTCTGCTTTCCACAGCCACCAGTGACTGAGGTGCAGTAAGAAGAGACTGCAGGGCTGTCAGGCACAGGCTGTCCAGCTGCTCTAGAGGGATTCGAGGACAGGAGTGACGGAAGCTCACATCCACCTTATATGGCTGCAGCTGCCGGGCACAGGCAGGATCCAAGGGTCAGGGGCACAAGCCAGAGAACCAAACAGGAGGCTATGGAAAAATCTGGGTAGGAGGTGGCAGAGCCTAGAGCAGCAGGGAGACCAGTCATCCTTCCATATCCGTGGAACATGGGGTCAGGACGCCTTTGGATACCTACTCCACCAACGCTCAAGAATCTTATACAGGGCTGGAAACATGGCTCAAGTGGTAAAGCTCCTCGCTAGCAAGTGCAAAGCTGAGTTCAAAGACCAGTATCACTCCCCCACCCCAAAAAAGTCCTTTCTGTAAAATGGTGTGGCATTAGCATATTACCCATATCCTCCTACACACTAACTCATCTTTAGTGATTTGTAATACCTAATACAATGCAAATACTATGCAAATAGTTGTTGTGCTGTATCATTTGGGGAAAAGTCAGTACATGTTGCATCGCTGTCATGCATAGTTTGGGGAGTGTTGAGCATCTAAACTGGTACTCGCCATGCCAGGTAGGTTCTCTACCATTAAGCTACTTTTCCCAACCCCAAATATTTTCCATCCACGGCTTGTCAAATCTGTGATGCAGAACTTGTGAATAGAGATCCCATCGACAAGGAGGACCAACTACATATCGCGAAGGAAGAGCCCATAGGGTCTGCTACTGGATTGAAATGAAAGAACATTCGCTCACTCTTGCTTCTACACTGTTCTGACATCATCACTTGGACCCAAAGGTAGTGAGTCTGGCCAATATACCAAACCCGAGTCATTGTGACAAAGATGACCCTTTAAACAGAGGTCACGTTTCATCAGATGCTCTTTTCAAGACAGAAAGGAGGGGGAGGAGGAAGGTGGTCCAAACAATGTATACGCATGTGAGTAAATGTAAAAACCATAAAAAAAAGATAAATATTGTTTTGCAAATGCTTTTGTGATCAAAGGAGTCATTTTATCAAGGATCAGCGTCTTTCTCTAAGATATTCTTGCTCAATTCCTCCAGTGTAGTAATCCTTTGGGTGACTAGGACAGGTCAGAGGGAGAGAGCTGCTCGTTTTTAACTGTCCCCTCCAGCTCAGTGAGGGAGTGTGAAGCTTAAAGCAAAGAAAGTCATTCTCAGTGCTCTGATCCAAGGCATTTGCTGATACGGTGCTCACTCGCTGCTGATACTGAGTTCCTGGATCCTGTTTCCTGTGCCTCCATTTCCCTGATCTACTCGGCTTCAAAAAGACTCCTGCTTGTCTTGAAGAAGCCAACAGCCATGTTGTGAGAGGTGGCAAGGGAGCCACACGGCACCTCTAGAACTCCAGCTGACAGCCAGTAAAGAGCCAGGGCTCCTGGCTTCATAAACTTAAGAAAACGACCTCTGCCAATAACTTACAGGAGCTTAAAGGTGGGTCTTCCTCAGTCAAGCCTCTGAGGACACCTCAGCTCAGCCAACTAAGTGAGATGCCAGCCAAAACCCAGGGGACCCATGCCAGCCTTCTGTAGAAACTGGCATCGTACATGGGTTCTACATGGGGGTGATTTTTCAATGCAGCATAAGTAACCTATACAGCTCTCAATGCTACCCACATGGCTGTCTTTGATCCTCTGAAATTATGAAAAAACAAGCCAGTCCCACGCTGGGTCTGCTAAGGGTAAGGCCAGTTAAACGTCCTCCTGCTTTGCGACCTCTGTGAAGCACAACTTTGCCATTTCTTCAAATCTTCTCACTCACCAAGCAACTCTGCTTTGGAGAACTTATCTGTAAGCAGGGCTAACCATGCGACTGACAGAATGCCAGGGGGCCCACTGAGGCGTGGTTTGTGATAGAAATGCCTGGAAGCTGCTTAGCTATCCACCAGCAGGGGACAGTCCTTGCAAAACACTGGTATGCTGAGAAGACTTTAAAAGGATAATGAAGGTTTTAATGTACAGACACAGAAAAAGAGTAAAATATATCTGAAGTGAAAAAGCCAAAGTGCACATCTCTGTCTACTCCACGCTCCATTCAGGAAAAAACACAATGGAACGCATTTGTAGAAATTTGCCTGCTCTGCCCAACAGTCTCTAGAAGGTTCTGCCCAAGCAACAGGTATCAGTGGTTGCCTGCAGGGGGAGGAGGTTGAGGAGGTAAACTATTCACTGTAGACACCTTTCCAAGCATTTAAACATCTGAACCATGACAATACATCACCTGCCCACAAAGTGAGGAAAATTTTAAATAAATATACCATCCAGGTGAGCTGAGGCAGGAGGATCTTGAGTTCAAGGCCAGCCTGGACTACAGAGTGAGACTCTATCTCAAAAAAAATTCTCTGGTGGGGAGAGGGAGGGGTGGGGGGGCAGGGGGAGAAATGGTCCAAACAATGTATGCACATATGAATAAATAAATAAATATTTAAAAAATTCTCCTCACTTTCAGAAGAAGAAAAAAAAGTCACTGAAAGTCTGTAATTATATTGTTATATTTGTTGTCAAATTTAAAGGGGAAAAACAAAAACATGTTTTTCTTTTGCCCTGAGAACCATATGACAAAATCACAAAATCTACCATCCTGAAGCCAGGGCAGGAAACCTTAATGAATGAAAAAGACCCAGTGACAAGAACAGGGGAACTAGGAGGACCTCAGGCCATCTGGAGCCAGCCCTGCCACTGGAGCTTCAACAAGGTCCTCCCCCACATCACAGCTAGTGTGTGTGCACACTGTGCTCCAGGCACTGGGGTAAGGCCCTTTCCAGGGACTATGTTAAAGAATTTTAAAGGTGAACGATTGCAGCTCAGCGAGGTTGAGTCACTAGTCTCAGATCACACAGCTGATCTGGTAGGACCAGTTTGACAGCCTGCGCCTTTAAGCACTTCTTACCACCTTCTTGTACTCTCTTAGACAGGCATGCTCCCACACAGGGCCACTTTGTAGCCCAAAGCATACCCTCTTACTTGTGGGGCTGTAATTCCCACAAACTGTAATAAACACAGTAAAATGCACATATCCAATATGATTCCTGTGACTGTGAGAATTTGGTTGAATTGAAATGCAGCTAATATAATATTACAACTTGAGGACTTTTCATTTTATTTTTATAATTTTTTTTGGTTTTTTGAGACAGGGTCTTGCTCTGTAGCCAGGCTGGACTGGAATTCACCATCCTCCTGCCTCTCCCTCTCCAGTGCTGGGATTACAGTTGTGCACTGCCACACCTGACTTGTGGATTTTATAAACTCAGTGAGGTATAAGATTCGCTCTGGTTAAGTGTAAGTCTGGTAAGTTGCTGTTATTCTGCTGACCCTGCCATGCCCTGGTTGTCCCCTCTGCTCCTTACAGTCAGTCCAGAGTCCCTCTCTCAGCTTCAGGGAGCCTCTGATCTATCTTTGGTGAGGGAATTTTGCCTGTCCTGGGCATTGCATGGAAATGGACTCGTACAACACGTCGTGCACGCTCCTGCAGCTTTTCACTGGCATGACAGCTGAGTTCCATCTCTGTGATGCACGTGTCAGTAGTTTTTTTGTTCCTTTCAAATCGCTGGCTGAACTCCATCCCAGAGCTGTGCCACGGTTCTGTGCCAACATTCCCCAGCTGTTGGACATCTGGATTGTGCCCCGCTTTTGACTAAGACGAACACAACCGCTCTGAGCATTGACGTCCCCACATCCTAGTGTTAAAAGAGCACGAGTCTTTGTTTCTCTTGAGAAGCTACCGAGGATGGGGTGGCCGGGCCAGATGGTTAGTATACGTTGAACTCTTTAAGGAGCTTCCAAACTGTTTTCCAAAGAGACTGCACTTCTTCATGTCACACCGGGTGGCTTAGAGGAACTCCTCTGTCAATTCCCATATTCGGTTTCTTCTTTGGCGCAAACATGAAAACATATTTATAAATGGGTTTCACCATTCCTCTAGGAAGAAAGACTGCAGCCTCGGGCTGCAGCCACACGCCACAGTGGAAAGCCCAAGACCCCTGCCAAGCACTGCGAAGATTCGCTCCCCAAGGCGGAACTGGGAACTGGGGAGAACGGCCCCGCCCACTCCGTGCGGGACTCCGCCCCAGGGGGCGGGGCTAGTGGGCGGGCCGAGAGCGAAGCGCGCACGTTTCCCCAGCTCCGCCCACTCCGCGAGGGAAGGGGCCCCCCAGGGGGCGGGGCCGGGAGCGCGTGCGAATTCCCTAACCCCGCCCACTCCGCGCGAGACTTGGGCCCCGGGGAGCGGGGGCCAGGGGCGGGGCCTGGAGAGCGTGCGTTTCCCCAGCTCCGCCCACTCCGTGAGAGACTGTGCTCGAGGGGCGGGGCTGATGGGCGGGGTCTACAGAGCGCGCGTCCCCAGCTCCGCCCACTCCGCGCAGGACTCCGCTCCAGGGAGCAGGCCTGGGGGGCGGGGCCAGGAGAGCGCGCGAACCTCGCCTGGTCTACTCTGAGATGGGCGGCCTCTCTGGAGGGCGGAAGTAGTGGGTGGACCCCAGAGGGTGCCCTCAATCTCCAGTCCCGCTCACCCCTCGCCTGGCTCCGGCTCCGGGGGGCGGTACCGGGTAGGGCGCTGGGCTCCAGCCCCGCCCACCCCGCTGTGGCTCGCACCATGGTGGGGCTGCTGGCGCTGCTGGGCCCAGCGGGCAGAGTGAGCGTCCGTGTCCGGCCTCGCGCCACCTGGCTCCTGAGCGCTGTCACCCACTGCGCCCCGCCACCCCTGACCCTGGCCCTGGCTCGGCCGGGGACAGACAGCCGGCTGCTGCGCACTGCCCGTGGGGACTGCCGTGGCCATCAGGTAAGCCTCCCCGCCCCGACCCTGACCCTGATCTCCAGGTGTCCGGAGCGCCGTGCCAGCGGCAGGCCACTTGCAACTGCCCGAAACCGATCATCTTCTGGGTTCCTGAGTCCCCAAAACCGTACAAGCCAAGGAAGTGATCCCCCCAATTAGCAACCTGAGAAACTGAGGCTCGGCTAGGTATGGTACGCTGCCCAGGTCACAGAGTCCCCAGCAGAGCCTCAGTTTCCAAAGCGTATGCCAGGACGGTGGTGTAAGCAGAGAGAATCGTAAGGGCCTGGACTTGGGATGAACTTCGTCATGTGGCCTTCGTTGTCCCTTTTGAAGTCCCGTTCACGCCTGTGCACTGGGCCCAGTATCTAATACCTCCCTGTGCTGCTGCTCCACCCTTTTTATCTAACTAGAAGAGCAGGCTTCCTCCGACCAGCAATCCATAGTGTGGTGCCCTTTATTATTTAATTTTGGTTTTCTGCCTTGAGTGCTAAGTGAAAACTAATTTCCATGCAGAACAGTAGGACCGCTTAAGTAGGTCTCTGTAAAGAAAGTAGTGGAGTTTGGAAATACAGGAGTGATGGGTCAGGACACAGAGCCGGGAGTCCTGCAGAGGAGTGCTTCGAGCTTGGCACTGTGGATGGGCCAGCCCTAGGGCCTCTGGGCCAGCTTGCTGACTGTCAGAGGGCTGAAAATAGCACCTTTCCGCAAGTCTGGTGGATAGCTCCAGAGTGAAGTAGGTCTGAGCACAGTGCCATGCCCCCAGCCTACTTGCTCTGGGCTCCTCGTTTTCATTAAAAAGCAGAGAGATTTGGCCAGTACCCTCACCTGCCTCCCACACAGGTGGAGGAACTTCCTTCCCTGCCCTCTCCTTTTCTGGGTGGCAGGTGCGCACAGGCCTTGTCTCTAAGGTGAGCACAGCCTAGGGATGTGCCACACACAGCAAGCTTGTCTCCTGGCGATTCTTTGTGCTCAGCCCAGCTTCCTCCAGGAAGCCTTCTCTGACCGCCAGTTGTGCCTTGGGCCCCTTTTTGGGCTCCCCTCAGCCCTATGGGGATGGCTCTTCAATGCATTCAGTATCTAGAACGGCCTCTTTTCTTGCTGTCTTTCAGCCACATCAGCCCTGTCGTCGTGGTTCCCCCCGCCCCGCCCCAGGCCCTGCACTGATAGGGGTGTGTGTATGCAGTGGGGATGAGTGTGGCCTCAGACTCCCAGGATTCCTGTCTCTGTTCGTTATTTCTGTGGCCTTGATTTAATGCTTTCACTTTTCGGTCTTTCAGTTTCTTTGTCTGTAAAATGGGACATTTGTAACTCACACTTCATAGAGTATGAATGTAAAATGAGATATTTGCTCTTGACGACTGGCACATCCAACAATACTGTTAGTGATTGTTATAATTATAGTAAACATAACACAGCCATAGGGCCCAGGAGCTGTCCTTGCTTCTCCTGCTCTCTGATAGAGGAGTGAAATCCAAATGGGATCAGAACTTAAGATACTTATCTCCCTGAGCAAACACTTCCCCATTGCAGGGGGAAGGAGGGAGGAGAGCCTGGCTTTGGGCAGAGCCGAGCATCCCCTGCCTGCTGTTCCTTGCTGCCTGCACTGGGAGGCAGGAGTGCCCAGCCAGTGCCAGGCATTTACTTAAGTGCATGAGAGACACGCCTGCCTGTGTCTTCAGCAGGAGGCTCTGCTATAACAAGGAGACAGAAAGGAACAGCACCCAAGTGATTCAACGTCATGGAAATCAGGCAAGCCCAGGCCACTTCTTAGGCAAAAGACCTGCTCTCTCAGCAGGCTCTGTCCTCTCCTCCATCAGTTCTGGCTTCCCTTATTGTCATATGCAGTGTCCTCCTCCCCTTGCCCTACTGGGTGTGTCTTCAGAGCACTGCTAGGGATTTAGTCTGTTGGTTGTACCTCTCCTCCCAGTAGACCTAAACCCCTGCAGGTTGTGTCAGTTTTCTTCATTGCTCTGTCCCTACACTCGGACACAGCCTAGCACAGGGAATACAAGAGGAGTAGTGCTGGGTTTGAGTCCCAGCTCTGACAATTAATCTCTGTGTGATCCTTGGTAAGTTACTCAACCTTTCAGGGCTTCTAGGATCCTCTTCTATTAAGTGGGGATGCCAGTAGTGCCCATCTCACAGGGGACGCTGTGAGGATCACTTGAATTAGTATTTCAAAGTACTCAGAATACTGCTTGGCACAAAGTCTACACATACCATACAGTGTTTATTATTACTTATCAAATGAATGAAAACAAGTGTCATGTCAAATGATGGCATCAACTTGTGGCTCATTTTTCCAACTTTCCTGGCCCTTCTCTCATATGGCTTTTTGTACTTTAATAAATATGGGGGGGTGGAAGAGGGGCATCTGTACACATGCGCTCTGCACTGAGTCCAGACACCAGGATGACAATGTTCCATTGTTGCTGTTTTAGCTTTTTTAGTCTCCTCCAGAGCGAAGATGGATGGATGCCTCCTGGCGCCCCTCCATTTCCTGCAAGCAGCCACTCCTAATGGAGACTTTTCTAGAACTCCCTGCCTGTGAAGGAGAGAAACGCTGTCTCCTGCCTCCTCTTGGCCAGCACCTGATCCCCTCCAGCCCTGCACCCAGGCCATGGCCAGAATGGGGCTAACATGGCTGGGAGGCCAGGCTCTTCCTGATAAACAAGCCCCACCCTCCTCTCCCCACAGATGGGACAGCTGCCAGAGCTGATAGGACTGTGTGCAGCCCCTCCGGTGCCAACACCGTGCTCAGGACGCTGATGGCAGTTGAAAGCCTTTTCATTTCCCACCTTGGCCAGGCCAAACTCAGTTGTGCCCCACACTCCCCTCCACAGGCCCATCATGGCTGCTAAGGGCCCTTTGTTCATGTCCCCAAGTTTGATAGAAGGCCTTCTAGCCAAAAACTAAAGAAAGAAAAAGGCAGCCAGACTTCCCACTACAGAATAAGCAGTATCTTCCACAAGACTACAGTAGGAACAAAACTGTTCAGTCATGACAGGCAACATCCTGTTAGTTTTAAACGGTGGCCCAGGAAGGCCTAAGGTGACATGTGACAAGGGCCTCTCTCAGTGGAGGGGACCTCCTGGAGGAGGTGGCATTTCCATTTCCATCTGATGTAAAACAGAGAACACCCATCCCCCTTCCCGGCAAATCCTTTGCTAGCAGTAGAGAAGGCCAGCCAGGAGAGTGTGCCAGGCAAGGCAGGAGAGGTGAGCAGGGGCTGGCCTGGCTATCCTGGCTGATCGCCTTAGAGTCACCTGGGGAAGGGGGGCTCATGGCAAATTCCAGGGCCCATCCTACCCACCAACATCTGCAAAATCAGAGGCTGGGCACACAGACATAGTACAAATGCAGAAGCTTTCTAGATTGGCACCACTCAGAGTCTACCAGCAGCATCACTTGGGCCTCCTTGGAGCTCAGGAGGAGTGCAGCATCTTGGGCCTCACACACCACAAATACACATGCTCAGTGCGAGCCCCTGCTCCAGGCAATGGCTCCCACACTAAGTCAGGAGTCAGGCCTGGAGGCCACAGACACCCCAGGTGTGCCTGATGGGCTTGGAGGCTGCTGCTTAGGGACCCTGTATCATTTCCCTTTTATCCCGGGGAGTCCTAACCCAATCTACTGGGAAATGTAGGCTGGTGTGCTCCTTCCCCTTGCCTTTGCAATGTGGCTCAGCTTCAGCACACTCTAAAAATACAGGAGGAAAAAAAATATATACCGGAGGGAACCATCCAGCTGCAGGATCACTAGATCCAAAGCACAGACAAATGCACGCCACCTGCCGGGCCCAGCTGAGGACTATAGAGAAAACTTTTGTCTAAAAGTGCTCTCTTATTGAGGTTTACTTTTTTCGATTCCAAGGGTGCTGGGGTTTTTGATTGTTTCTCACAAACATTCCAGGCTCAGCAGGCGATGAATAAATGGTAATAGCTGCCACGTGCAGTGAATGATTTCTCTGCAAGACCTGTTCGGTGTATTGTCCAGGAACTGGCCTTGCCTTTCTCGGAATCAGGTCTCGGGTGTAAATCTTGATCCTGGAAGTAAATATACCGTAGCTTTTGCTCCGTTTTATCTCGCTCAACTCTCCTCTTTTGGTAGCATCATGGCATGGTGATTGTGGGCCTAAGCTGCAGGCTCAGGTGGCCTGGGCTCACATCTTGATGACTTTGAGCCAAATAATTGACCTCTGGGAGCCTGTGCCTCTCCTCTGTGAAGTGCAGGAGCTAGTATTGAGCTCCAGAGTACTGTCAGGAGGATGAGGGGAGGAACAAAGAGAACACGGTAGAGGACTGCCTGGCTCAGAAAAAGGTTCAGTAGAGCATCGCTGCCGTCCCCAAGTGCATGAGCACTGGTATATCAGTCGCTCTTGCTGCTCTAACAGATGGCCACACACACACTTACCTTGCAGTGCTGGAGGTCAAGTCCAAGACAGTTCTTACTGGGTAGAGTCAAGGTTCCTTCCAGAGGCTGAAGGGCAGAACCCACTTCCTGCCTCTTGCAGCATCTACAGGCCACCTGCTCTCCTTGGCTGTCACCCCCACATCCACAAGCCAGCAGCACACCATCTCAGATGTGCCTCTGCACCTGCCATCACCTCTCTCTCTCAGACACTGACTCTCTTGCCTTTTTTTGTTTTTTCCTTTTAAGCAGGCACTTTACCGTTCAAGCCACACCTCCAGTCCATTTTGCTCTAGTTATTTGGAGATGGAGGGGTCTCACAAACTATTTGCCCAGGCTGGCCTGGAACCTCAATGCTTTTGATCTCAGCCTCCCAAGTAGCTAGGTTTACAGGCATAAGCCACTGATGCCTGGCTTCTTGCCTCCCTCTTTTCCCTTAGAAGGATCCTGTGGTTCCATCTTAAGAGCTACAGAGCCCTTTTGCCATGTAAGATGATATGCTCCAGGGTTCTGAAGATTAGGACCTGGACATCTGAAGCCATCATTCTGCCAACCATACCTAGGACCTAACCTTTGGCTGCACTGTAGTGACTAAGTGGGCCCACTGAGTAAGCAGGACAGCAGCCAACCCCTGGTGGGGTGGGGAGAAGCCGGTGATGACCATCCATGTAGAGCCTCCCCTTTGGCTTGTGCACAGGACACCAGCAGAATCACCCAGACAACAGGCAGTCACACCAACAGCACAGAGGAGAAAAAGCAGAGCAAATCACAGCAGCTGAAAAAGATTTTTCAAGAATATGGGGCTGTTGGCGTGTCAGTGCACATCGGAATCTCACTCATCTCCTTGGGCATATTTTACGTGGTTGTTTCAAGGTAAGTTTGGTTTTTGTTTTTGTTTTGATGGTACTGGGGTTTGAACCCAGGGCTTCCCACTTTTGAAGCAGGCACTCTGCCACTTGAGCCGTGCCCCCAACTCAAGGTAAGATTTTTCACAGTAATAAATACTTGTTTCTTACTGTCACCTAGATTCTATGTGGATGAGAACTCTGTTTCTAAGGTTTGTTCATGCAGCAGGAGCGGGAGGGTAAATGAAGAGGGTAAAGGAGGGCAAGTATGGCTGAGGTACTTTCTATACATGTGTGAATATGGAACACTGAAACCTGTTGAAGTCATTTCATGAAGGGGAGTGGAGGAAGAAAGGAGAATAATGGAGGGGATGAACCAAACTGGGGTACAATATATGTGTATATGAAAATGTCACAACAGAACCCCCCCTATACAACTATCCTATACTAATAAAAATGTTTTTAAAAAAATACTGTCAATCTTATAGCCAAGGTAATTTAATCCCTGGCTGTACTAATTGTTTTCTTTGCCTCTTCCCACCTGCCAGTGGTGTAGATATGTCTGCGATCCTGCTTAAACTTGGATTTAATGAGTCACTGGTACAGTCAAAAATGGCAACAGGCACGAGCACCTTTGTGGTGGCCTATGCGATCCACAAGCTGTTCGCGCCAGTGAGGATCAGCATCACCCTCGTCTCTGTGCCTTTCGTTGTCAGATATCTTCGGAAGGTGGGACTTTTTAAATCTCCATCTGCAAAGCCCTGATGAACACCTCAATTGTAGACACTGCAAACCTCTCTTAAATCACACAGTCTGGATTGAGTTTAGGGTTGTAGTTTGGGGAGGAGGGGGGAGGGGCTAGTTGTTATGTTCTCATGGAATAATTTTATCTTTTCCAGGAAAAATCAGGTTTTTGAATGAGTATAGATTTTTTTGCTTTAAAAATTTTGTTAATGGTGTTCATATGACTGTATGTTTTCTAAAATGTCAGTGAGACACCACGTAGGAGCTAACATCTCAAAACCAAGCCATCTACAAAATGCCCCTTCGAGGTCATTGGTGAGGTCCATCTGCAGAAGCTCCAGGGAGTTCATCTTTGCTCAGGTTCTTAAAAAGCAATGATTAATTTAGCTGGTTTTTTAAAATTCCCCTTTCTCTGACTTGTCCGCCACAGCCTGGAGTTTAACATGCAGCAAAACAGCTGTCAGAGATCTAGCTAATGATGCAAAACTTGTCGATCTCTAATCGTGATCTAAATTAGCATCAGGCCCTTGACATCCATTACACTTATCTTGGGAACAGGAAAAGCAGATATCTGGTGACTCCAAAACACCGTCAGCTCTGGATATGATGCGGCTAGATGATTTGTTAGGCCAGGGTTCTTTGTAACATATGGACACCTGGCCCAATAGTAAAAAGTATTGCTTGGTTCCTGATGTCCATATTCACAGAGACTTTTGGATACTGACATTTGAAAAGCTAAGACAATCTTTACTTAACTCTCTCAAACTTCAGTCATTCCAGAATTGAGGCAATGTTTACACTGCATCACTACTTGTATTTTTAAATTATATGAAAGATTTGTATCACTTCCCATAAAAGAAAATCAGTAACGCTTGTTATAAATGAAAGTAATCATGCTGGGGAGAGTGGAAATGGGCAGGTGTAATTATAGTCCACCAGACCAGTTTTACTAGGAAAAGACCAAGTTAGGGAGACTACCATAGAAACCCAGGACCCAAACTGAGACTTCCTCCTCTAAGTAGCCAGGGGCAGACAGTTGGGGAAGGGATTCCCTCCTGTGGGGTTCACATCATCTATGTTCTGTGCTTTGCTAATGCAGGGCACTTGCTCTACACTCTGGGGCCCAATTTTAAGTCTGTTCTGCTGCATGGTTGAAAGAGTTTCACTTATCTGGTTCACCATGCCGGGACTGTTTTGTTTTTTAAATATTTTATGAATCAGAAAACTAAAGGAACTCACTGACCATACAAGTTCTAATGCGATCTGGCTGTTGACAGTTCACTAGTTAATCCATCGTGACCCATCAATTATCTGTTAACATTTAAAAGAATTTTCATGCAACAGATTCTGTTTACAAGATCTTTAAAGTGGAAATGTTTTTTGTTTTTGAAACAGGGTCTCACTTTGTAGCCCATGCTGTCCTCAAACTAATGATCCTTCTGCCCCAGCCTTCCCAGTGCTGGGATTACAGGTGTCTACCACCATACCCGTTTTTTTTTTTCTCCTTTTAAAGCAGTTAGATCACTGCCAAAAGCTGTTACTGATTCAAAACAGGAGCTTCCCCAGCTCTTCCAAACACACCCTGGAAGTGCCTATTTTGGAATCTAACTCCAAGGCCATCTCCATAGCTGAACGAGATGCCTAGTACTGGTATTAGTAATTCCTCATACGGACTGGACAGAGCCTTCCCGTCTGCTCGTGTTTCAACAGTCATTTGTGGGCTGGCGGAGTGACTCAAGCTGTAGCATGCCTGCCTAGCAAGCATGAGGCCCACAGTTCAAACCCCACTAACAGCCAAAAAAGAACAGCCATTTGTTAGCTTCAGGCTGCTATTCACTATCCAGAGTCTCCAATCCGAGCAATACCATTGCAATAAAAAGCTGATCGAGGGCCCTAAAGGCTTAGGGGCTTATTAAATCCCCAATTCTGATCATGCGTTCAGAGTAATGGGAGTGGAAGGGACAAGCAATAGAACTAATTATACCAGAGAGCCACCTCACTACCTTCTGAACCCCAAGCGCCCCTGTGGTGGCAACCACAACAGAAAAGTTACTAGAGAGGACGGGGTCAAAGGATCAGGGAACTGAAGCATTTTGTTACACTGTTTGTTCATGGAACTAGGGGAATGAAACTGAACTAGTTTTAAAATGTAAGCCATTGTCTGCCTAATTTTTTAATCTGGCAGTGAGCAGCTGAGATGCTGTGACACAAATAAACATCTTTGTAGTCTGTGGCCTTCTTCCTCTTCTGGTAAGCCATGATTGCTGTGGGGTATGAACAGCGCCTGTGACGAGTGTGCTAGTGAGCTTTTGCCTGTGTAGCAGGAACCGTCCTGAGTTTAGCTGGTGTCACTGTGGTCACATCACATCAAATACAGCTTGGACACACAGCACATCTTACTACTCTGAGAATGTACAAGTTAACTCAGCACAACACTGGGAACCAAAAGCTCACTTGTCACCTGACCTTTGCAGTTTTACTGCTGTGTTTTGAAGTTTGACAACTCTGTCACTTACTCGTGGAACTTTCTTTACACTGGCCACTTTAATTTTGACATACATACATACATCATTAAAGCATATTTCTCTGCTAGTTCTTAACTCAGCACTTCTGCCTTTTCTTCACCAAGTTCATCCTCTTTGGTCAACCACAGATGACATGGCAGCTATAAACCTTACACATTAGGACTACATCACCAGACCAGAAAAGGGCTAGACCTGCTCATTTCCTGGCCCACAGTGAACAGTGGTGGGAATAATTACCCGTGTGCTCCAGGTAGACATATATATTTAACAAATTTAAAAGCATGCCATAACTCCATTTAGACACAGCTGAGATACCTGGTTTCTTCTGGGTCCCAAGACAAAGGACGAGCACATGTGTTCTATCCTGCAGTGATTAAGGAGGACCAGAAACCCAGCCTTAGCAGTTGATGGACAATGGGGACATAAGGGGCTGCCATGGAGGGGAAATGCCAGTCTTTATAAATCTTTATTTTAACATTTAAAAGAAAGAACCACATATTCATTCCTATAGGCTTGGCCACCCAATAAGTTACACACACACTCGGGCACTTGGCGGTCACTGTACAGATGGATCACTGGCTGAGTCCAGGCAAGGTGGCCACTTTCCCCACAGCCAGGCTCCAAATTCGTCTTCCAGAGGACAGCCTGCTGGACACAGGCCGTGGGGATGGTTGCGGCCAGCTCCTCCCTCAGATTGTGAAACCAGTAAAAGCAGCACGATCCTCATGGCCACTCTTGGTGTCACGTCTGCTGAGGCGGAGTTTTCCCACCAGCAGGTGAGGTGAGGAGGCACTGCCTGCTCAGTGAGACAAATCCCAGGTCCTGTAGTGCTCTGGGCTAGAGGCAGGTGGACAGAAAGGGAGGTTTCAGAAGCGTGTTCCTAGAGGCTGTACAGCAGCCCTGGCTCAAGGCTTTCTCCTCAGGCTTGATTATTTGCTAGTTGATTCTTTGCTTTGTTGGCAGTTCGAAGGTTTTGATGAGTTTGCTGTGATCCAGGGGTGTTCAAGGACTTCTCCTAGCGTGGGCCGCTGGCTTGCATTATGCTTTAGTAGTCGTGAAATGAGGTCCCTGGCTCCCTCTGTCACAAACTCAGGGAATGTGAATTCAACCTGGAGTACGAGTGCCAAAAATGCCACAAAACACATGTTAGAGAGACTGAGTAGTATAAGTATTCAGACCTTAGTCTCAAGTTCAGACTGACAAGGGAAGAATTCTAGCAGCAGGGCTGGATCCTGCTCAGTTAGGTCTTACCCGAGATATCCTTCTGTAGGTCTCTTGGTACGTCTGTGCCTCAAAAGGCGGCTTCCCAGTTAAAAACTCATAGCACAGGACTCCAAGGCTCCAGAGATCCACCTTCTCATCGTGCATTCGGGCTTCAATCATCTCGGGGGGCAGGTAGTCCAGGGTGCCACAGAGAGTGGTCCTCCTGGAAAGGGAGGTCGGTTGGCGTGTTCTGGTTATCTAACACTGACTGAGCACTTCCTTGGGCCAGATCCTGGGCTGTGGCATACCTACTATTCTACCCATATTTTTAGATGGAAACAAAACTATAAAATCACACGGCTAGCCACCAAGCTTCAGGCCAAATTTGACCAATCTAGAAAAAAACTAAAATTAACATTTCAATAAAAAGCTGCCACACAGGCAAGCATGGTGGCACATACGTGTAATCTCGGCACTTGGGAGGCTGAGGCAAAAGGATCAAGGAAGAGGCCAACCTCAGCTACATAGCAAGACCCTGTCTCAAAACAGAAAAACTGCCATGCAGAGTTCTGTTTATACAATTTGGAGTTCTATATTAGGTTCAAGTGACACCATATTCAGAAAAATACATTTAAAAATGTAGAGAGACTGGTCTAGATGAGGACCAAGGGGACAGTCAAACACAATGCATGTAACTTGGCTGGGTTTATTTCTGTGGGGTTTTTTTTGTTGTCGTTTGAGAAAGGGTCTTCCTATGCAGCCCAGGCTGGCCTCAACTTTTGATGTGCTAAAACATGCACCACCACAACCAGCTTGCTTAGGTTCTGGTTAAAAACAAAAACAAATCACACAGCTACAAAATTTCATGGACAAGTGGGAAAATGTGAACACGGACTAAATATCAATTGTGCTTCAACCCAGGAGTGACAAGGGTTGTGACTATGCAGACCGCCACTGTACACTTGGTGATGAAGCATGATGCCACTGCAACTTATTTTCAAACATTCACCCAAAAGGCAGACACAGTCAATACCGCAAAGTATTAGAACTGCTGAGTTCTAATAGAACTACTGGACAGACAGGGTGCTATCAGCTACCATTTGGGTTTTGGAAACAAAGGTTGTAAATAAACTGGGTGGCAGCCATCCGAAGAGACCATGGAGGCTGCTGTTGCTCTGACAGTGCTGCAGCCATGCCATGGCACCCAGTGAGTGCAGTAAGTGCTCCCTCAGTGAAGCATGCCCTGCGATGAAGGGGCCACCTCTCCAGACCTCTAGCCTCTCGTCACCACTGAGACAGTTTCTCTGACAACAGTCCACACACCCTGTCAATTCTTGTGTTGGTAACATTTACAGTATGATGTCAGGAAGCAGCCAGCTGGATTTTCTGAAGTCTAGCTTAACCCTGCAGCATCATGAAGCCTACAGCTCCTTGTGTCTCTCACTGGGAGGTGACAATCAGTTTAAAACAGACTGCAATGGCAGATTCAATGCATTGCTGCAAACAAACAAATCTGTAACACAGAAAGGCTCCCACACAGCATCTACTTTTAGGCTGTACAATTTTTCTAATTAGATTTTAAGAGTCACCTGGGAATAATCTTTAAGTTCTCCCTCAAAGTTGAAGCTTTAAAATGTTCAACTCACATGAAGCATAAAAGCTTGTTTACACCCAAATTAAAACAGCTGAGAAGAGTTTAGCCCGTTTTGAAGAAAGTCCATCTAAGATTTAAATTGTTTCACTGCTGATGCTTCAGCTTTAACAGGGACAAGAAAGAGGACTAGTCCTGGGCTGGAGGTGTGGCTCAAGTGGCAGAGTGCCTGTCACGCAAGCATGAAGCCCTGAGTTCAAACCCTAGTACTGTCAAAAAAAGAACACTGTTCCTATTGCTGATAAAAGCAGAACTAAGTGACTCCAACCAGCAGCCTCAAAGGTCCACTGACACCAACTTGGTTTACAAAGTTCCCCAAAAAACTGTGCTCTTGGCTCTTCTTTGTACTGCTACCCTCTGGAATTTTTCCCATCTCTTTATCCAGGTTGCAGCTGGAGTTTCCGCCCCACCATTAAGGTAGGTCCTCCCCCCACACATCTGCATTTTTCCTGTAATATGCTTGTCATATCTGTAGGCTTATTTAATCCCCATCATTAGTCTCTGAGGACATTAAATATCTTCACCACTAGGCCTAGAATGCAAGATAGATCACAATGGTCACAGAATAAAATTTTCTTAAAGACACTAGTTTACCATTAGGCCTAAATAACTGCAAACTGTTTCTGGCTCAGCCGCCTGACTTCAACGCTTAGTCTGCGTGAACTCTGACTCAGGGCTTCTGCCACCTCTGGAGCCACGTACCTGGAGGACGGAGCGTGCACTGACCACCCAAAGTCTGCAATCTTAAGCTCCCCAGCCGATCCAAGAAGCAGGTTCTCTGGCTTAATGTCTCTGTGGATAACTCTCTTTGAATGACAGTAAGACAGGGCATTCGCCAGTTCTGCGATATACTATTGGAAAAGAAAAAAAAGTACCAAAATTGAATCAAGTCTCAAGGCATCCAGTGCTCAGTCAACTCTTTGCCAATACAGCTGATGTGATATTTAAAGACAGACCCATTGTAAGCTTTAACTACAGTCCTACAAGGCAATGTATAGCCCAGCAGCAACGAATTAGGGAACTAATGCTGACTGGTACAAATTAGGGATTCCAAAATACAAGCAATGTTTTTAAGATCTTTTAAATTTTTCAAGTGCAATCTATTCCCCATTTTTAAAACCATGATAATTCTACAACAAAACAATCTGAAGATAAAAATTTACTTTAAGAGTTATCAGAGGAAGGGGACATAAATATCACAGTGTATCCCCTGTACTATTATATACTCTTGGTAGACAAGCTCTTTGCCATTTGAGCCAACCCCCCAGCCCTGTTATACACTAATAATAATTTACAAAGAAATTTTTTAAAAAGCTGGCAGAGTGGCTTAAGTGGTAGAGTACCTACCTGCCTAGCAAGCATGAGGCCCTGAGTTCAAACCCAACACCGCAAAAAAACTAAAAATTTTAAGTATGGGGCAGGATGGATGAGGGAGAACCATGGAGGGGGTGAATCTAAGTTTTATTATGAGCACACATGTAAAAGTCACAGTGATTTCCCCTGTAAAATTATTACACACTAATAAAAAAAAGCAAATGTATTATAAACCGCAAAAAAGTATCAGGAAAATTACTCTGAATAATAAAAGGAACTACAACAAAGTACTTCGGCATGTTAAACAGTGCTGTGGTTGAATGTGCCCCAAAGGCATGAGCTGGAAACTCAATCCCCATACAACAGTGTGGAGAGATGGGGCCATGAGGGCGTGACTGTTAATGCTGATTACAAAAGGGTCCCTCCTCCTTCCACCAAGGCATGATGCCAGAAGGCCCATGCCAGATGTGGCTCCTCCACTTAGACTTCCAGGCCAATCTGTTCTTTATGTATTACCCAGTCTCCACTTCTTCTGTGCTGCTTAGCAGAGTGCCCAACATAAACGACAAGTTAAATTGTGGGGTATACCAGTTCACCAGTCAGCATAGTGAGCACACAAGCAAATCAGTCCTTGTTACTTCTGTTTCCTTGAGTTACTATCGCTCTTCCGTTCCATTTCAAACTTAAAATTTAACAAGCAAAGTCCAGAATGCATTTTAACATGTAGATAAGAATGGGTGCGCTCAAAGTGTATACATAACTCTGCAAGACTTTGAGAAGTTTCTTTTCCAAGTAATAGCTAGGCAGGCCCAAATATTACAACAAAAAGGTTCACTAAAAAAGTGGGTAAAAACTAAATGTCACTGCCAGCAAGGACATTTTTCATTCCTGTAGCACTAAGCAGAGATCAGAGTTTAGGCCACAATAAACTGCATGTAGGTGCAGAGAACTTGCTCTCCTGTTGCCCCAGCTCTGACACTGTTGCTTTCGCTGCACACAGAGAGGGCAGAGAGCAGAGGGCAGTGGGTTTTCCTGCTCAGTCCATCTCCAGACAAGCAGCTAAGTCTCTAATCAGAGCTCTTTGACTCCATTTTCTCCAGACTCACATGTTAGACTGCGGCTGCGTAAAGGTTTTGAATTCATCTAAACAGGAAAGCAGGTGTGTATGTATTCATTCTAACTTCTAAGGAATCTACAAAGAACCATTTTTTCACTTTCTTTCAAATAGCTATCTCTTACATCAAAATAAACTCCATCTGGACTGAAGTCTCAGATATGGAGGAAGGAAATGGAGAATGAGAATAATGAAATAACATTACAATCTACAAGGGGTAAGCCTCTTTAAGTAGAATGTCAACATCAAAAAATGGACAAAACAATGAATTTACCAAAAGTAAAAACTAAGACCCACTGCAAGCAAGATTTAAAGAGTAAAACAGAAAACCCACAACCAGGGCTAAGGCACCTCAGGCAGAGCCACTATCACTTATTGAGCATAATTTCTTATTAACAAGTAAGAGAAAAGATGCCTGATCAATGAATTCAAAAAAATATTAATGGTCAATTAAACAAGAAAATGATTAGCAAACACTGAAGAAGCAAATAAAATAGAACTTCTTATCTATTCATCTCAAACATTTAAGATGAAGCTTAAAATGCAAGTCATTACTGAGACAAGACTAAGTCATTCAACCAGTGGTGGTGAAACAGCATCGCCTTAATATAAATGTCATTTAAATCAATATCAAAAAGAACACTAGCATAGACACTACCCAGATCTCCAAGAAACAGAACTAACCACTTCTCAACAGAACCTCTGAATCAACAAGCAAGCCTTGAGTTTGCCTAGCTAACACAAAGCTGTGTTCAAACCCCAATACTGCCAAAAAAGAAAAAAAAAAGCACCCTAATTAAGATTCTCTAATTTCTTAAAACAAGTAATTTCATTCACAAAGAAGAAGCAAAAAAAAAAAAAAAAACCACAAGATTTGACATGCTGGAAGATTTAGAAACTGCCTTCCAAAAGACAGGTAAGAAAATGAATGAAAAAGCAAGGAATAGACTAGATGAAAACGTTTGCAAACCACACTTGAAACAAAGGCCCTGCATCCAAAATATACACCAAACTCTTAAAGCTCAACAATAAGAAAACAACAAAACAGTTCAAAACTGGCAAGAGATGAGCAGGTGCCACCAAGAGGACATGGGAGTGGCAAATAAACTCACCATCACTTGTCTGTTGGAAACTGCAAATTCAATCCAGGAGGTACCACTACACACCTAGCAAAAGACTGACAGCAACTGATGGCAAGGAGGAGAAGCAACTTTACTCAGTGATAAGAAATGAGCTGGGATGGGGATGTAGCTCAGTGGTAGAGAGACTACCCAGCATGCATGAGACTCAATCCTCAGCACTGCAAAAAAAAGAGCTGTCCAGCTGCAAAAAGATATGTATGAAACTTAAATGCAGATGAAAGAAGCCAATATAAAAAGGAGACATACACCAGAGGATTCCACTTATAGCTTGAGACTAGTGGAGTAGCTCAAGCAGTAAAGTGCCTGCTTTGCAAGTGTGAAACTCCAAGTTCAAACCTCAGTCCCACCAAAACAAAACTTCTTTGGGTCCACTTATGATAACTTGGAAATAGCAAAACAACAGCAATAAGAAACAGATCAATGTTGCTAGAGAGGAAGTGGAGCGAGTGACACACACAGCTCATTTTCTGCAGCACTGAAATTCTTGTTTGACACTGCAATGGTGGATACATCACCTATGTACTTGGCAAAGTCGGTAAAACTTGACAGCACAGAAAGAGAACCATAGTGTATGCAATATTAGAATAAAAACACTGAGGAAGAAGGGGGATCCAAGATGTCATGAAGACTGTGACACAAGAATCTAACCAAATATAACAAACGTATGAAAGAACTTCATTGAAGGGTATGGGAGAATGGTGGACTAAGTAATTTTAAAAAACAAAGACAAAGGAAATGTGTACACTGCTGTAGGTGACAGTTGTTTCCCACAGGGGTAACTGGTTACAATTCTGATACACATATATCAGTGTAGTCATGTATGTTAGTTATTCAGAACTGAATAACTAAAGTAAATGCAGATGAATGGTGAAATCCAGTTTTCTCATTGTTGGATTGTAGTCTACGGATAAGCAATGAGAAGTGGTTAGAATGATCCAGGTGGTTACGGATTATTTGAACACATCCCTATGCTCCTACAGATACATGGATTACTCTATACATATATTCCCTTGAACTCTGTCAGCTGAGGCCCTAGAAGTAATGACCCCAGCAGCAATGGGTGCCCTAGTGCCCAGACCTTGGTTTCCTTGGGGAAATAGCTGTTTCAGGAACAGGACAGGAAGTACACAAGATGAGGCCTGAGTGTATACTATCAGAAACGAAGTACATAAAATAACAAAACCCCACAATGATGGTTCACACAGGAACCATCTCCCGTGGGCAAAACTGCAACAATGTGACTGACAAAGAAGTATTGGATTTTAAGTCAAAGTACAAAATAAATATCCACATTTTACACAAATGAGCAAGTACTGAGAACCCGCAAATCTCTGGTACAGAATCTCAAATAATGTACATAAACACTTCTCCCCTTCTCCTCTCTCAAGGGTGAGCTATGCTTAGAAACTGAGGGATTATAGTGGGAAGGAGGTAGAACAACAACTTTACAGTGGAGATATCAACACACACTATGTCAGACACCTGACCCTCCCCAGGTCAGGTCAAGAGTATGCATCCATGCCGGGCATGGTGGCCCACACCTCTAGTCCTAGCTACCCTCGGGTGTTCGAACTAAGAGTGTGTATCCACGACATGCTGAAATCGACTGTACCTACAGCTAACCCACAGCCCGAGCCAGTCAAGAGAAAAGCAGCAGCACTGGAAGAAGGTATGGGCTGTAAAGGCCACGTATCAGTATCAGTTCATTAGCTGTGACAGAAGTACCATGCTATTCCTAGACACTAATACTAGGAAAAATCAGGAACCCGGTTCATCGAACCAGGTACTACTGTCACAATGTCTGTAACCTAAAGCTACTCTAAAATGAGTAATTATCAGAAAGAAATGGGAGAGCAACTATCTATATACATTTCCACAGAAAAACAGCTGTGGACAGACCAGCCACAACATTCAATCTAGTACCTGATTTTACCTGTACACATGGTACAGCTAAGCTATTTGATTTTTCCATTATAAATATCTGATCCTCTTACATACTATGTATTAAGACAGACCCTGCTCTACATGAAGGCACACTGTAATGGAGGATAGATATAAGGAGATAGGTATAAAGGAAACAGAGTTAACCTGCACAAACAAATGGGCACTTACAGTAGCAGTTCTCTGCTCATCAAACTTGGACAATTTCTGAAGTTCTCTGTAGACTGTTCCAAGTGGTGCATATTCTAAAATTAGGTAAACTCTGGTGGCATCGTGGAAATATCCATATAGCCTGAGAATGTTGGGATGCCTACAACAAAGAATGGAGATGGTAACACCTGGTGCCAGAGCTACTGCAAGTGGTTCACACCTGTAATCCCAGCTACTCAGGAGGCAGAGATCAGGAGGATCACAGTTCAAAGCCAGTCCTGGCAAATAGTTCGAGAGACCCTATCTTGAAAAAACTCATCATGAAAAAGGGCTGGTGGAGTGGCTCAAGGTGTAGGCCCTGAGTTCTAGGCCCTGAGTTCAAGCCCCAGTACTGCCAAAACAAAATAAAAAGAATACATGAATACCAAAACACACCTCTCATGAAAGTAAAAGGGTGTTTCACTGGCATGGCTCAAGTGGCAGTGCACTCCTGCTGTGCAAGCAGAAGACTGAGCTCAAATCCTAGAACCCCCAAAAAACATCAGTGGTGTTCCTCATGAAACCCTCTCCCCAACCTGACATGAAAATCAGAAACAGTAGGCCTTCTCCACAAAAAATGCAAAAACCTGCACACCATTTCACATGCACTTCAAAGTACTAATGGACCTCAGGTTTAGTTAGCACTGTTATTTCTTTCCCTTAGGTATCTTTACGTTGAGGGCCAGGAATTTAGTTAACTAACAATTTCTATGTATTAAAGAAAAAGAGCATAACATTCACCCAATAGTGTGATGTGCAAACACAGGATATGGAGCACAGCCTGCCCTAAGCTCCAGCCCTGCTCACCCCACCTCCCAGCTGATGGCAGGTGGGATACAGGTCAAATATAGCCAGAGTTTAAATGTCATCATTTGTCTCATATTTAAAGAACACTGAAAGGAAAAGCAAGATACACCGACTCAATCAACCAGGGCCTTCCCCTTAATTGTCCACCAAAACTAAAAAAAAAAGTCCAGGTAAATATTAAATCCTCAAATAAGTTTCAGGACCACAGACTGAAGTCTAGGCAAGTCTTTGGGAAATGACCAACTTCCTCATTCCTGTAAGTACTTTTAGAAGCAAGCCTTCCAAGAGCTCTGCTCTTCTCCTGACCGCTCCTCTGAACATCAACCTGCAAACTCACCGCAGGTGGGACTGTATTTCCACTTCTCTTCTCAGCTGATGCTCCACGCCTGCCTTCTCCAGCTGAGCTTTAAATAACACTTTAAGAGCCAGAATAAACTTGCTTTGTTTTTCTCTTGCTAAATAAACGTTACCAAACTTCCCTTTACCCAGAGGGCGGCCAATGTCGAAATCTTCCAAAGTCCATTGTCTTCTACAAAGAAATGTGAACATTTTAAAATAGGAAAAAAAATGTTGCCAACAATTTATCCATAAGTAGACACATTCTATAAATAATCTTATATTCAAATTACACTTAAGCAGTACCCTCAGCCATAACCAAATCCATAACTAGTAATGAGTTGCAAACATTAAAACCCTGACTTCCCCAGCTGCCACTAACTGCATAAACTGCTAACAAGGAACAACCTTGGAATTTTAGAGCAGAAGCCAGCAGCGAGAATGTCCCAGGGCTGTACTAAGCTCAGGAGCACAGACCTACTGACAGCCCTAAGACCATACAGACGGGTGTAACTGGAGAGGAAGAATGTCTCAAGACCTCTTGTGGGCCTCTTTTAAACCCACCTCCCTCCATCCCAGCAGAAGCTCACACTCTGGAGGACAGCTATTCTAATGGTGGACATGGGGACACTGTCACTAGTGGAATCGGGATGGAGGTCACAGGTGTGGGCACAAGAAGTATGAAAACATCTATTCGCTAAAAAAGTCTGTGTATTACAGCACCATTCACAATAGCCAAGTTATGGAAACAGCCAAAATGCCCCACTACTGATGAATGGATTAAGAAAATGTGGTATTTATACACAATGGAATTTTATGCAGCCATGAAGAAGAATGAAATCTTATCATTCGCAAGTAAATGGATGGAACTGGAGAACATCATTCTGAGTGAGGTTAGCCTGGCCCAAAAGACCAAAAATCATATGTTCTCCCTCATATGTGGACATTAGATCAAGGGCAAACACAACAATGGGATTGGACTTTGAGCACATGATAAAGCAAGAGCACACTTGGGAGGGGTGAGGATAGGTAAGACACCTAAAAAACTAGATAGCATTTGTTGCCCTCAGTGCAGAGAAACTAAAGCAGATTATTTAAAGCAACTGAGGCCAATAGGAGAAGGGGACCAGGAACTAGAGAAAAGGTTAAATCAAGAAGAATTAACCTAGAAGGTAACACACATGCACAGGAAATCAATGCGAGTCAACTCCCTGTATAGCTATCCTTATCTCAACCAGCAAAAACCCTTGGTCCTTCCTATTATTGCTTATACTCTCTCTACAACAAAATTAGAGATAAGGGCAAAATAGTTTCTGCCTGGTAGCGAGGGGTGGGGGGGAGGGGAGGCGTTAAGGGAGGGGCCAGGGAAAAGGGGGGAGAAATGACTCAAACATTGTATGCACATATGAATAAAAGAAATAAAAAAAAAAAGTTTGTGGGATCGATCACTTCTGGTCCCTGCTCCTCCATGCTAGTCTAGCTCAGAGGTTAAGAGCACATGTTTACAAAGTATCTGGGGAAGAAATCACAGTCAACCTTTATAAAACACAATTAATGCACAGTTATATTAGTATTGCCAAAATACCTATACAGTCATAAGTACCTTTCCAGTATATTGTTCTGCAACCTGACATTGTTTTTTAAAAACCTGTACTTTTAGCCAGACGAAAGGGTGCATGCCTATAGTTCCCAGCTACCCGGGAAGCTGAGTCAGGAGCATCACTTGAGCCCGGTTTAGGGCCAGCCTGAAGGTGAGACAGCGGCTTCAAAACCATACAAACAAAAAATCCAAGAACAAGAAAATCTTGCATTTTTGCACAAGAACAGAAGCACACATCTAAGCCACATGTACAGGTTATTTCTGAGGACAGAGAGAAACCTCGCACATTTTCAGTAACACATTTCATTCAATCTTTTTCTACCTTTGGAAAACAATTCCAAAAACTTCAAAGTTCCTTGTTTTTGTTTATTTTTAGTGGTACTAGGGTTTGAATTCAGGGTCCCACACTTGCTAGGCAAGCACTCTACCACTTAAGTCACTCCGCCAGCACCCAAAACAAACCCATTTTTTAAAAAAGGAATTTTGTTTAAGACTGGAAATCTGGAAGCATGTCTGAAAATAGAAGCCTATTTTTTAATAGTTCCCACAACTAACTTTGCAATGAAATGGTGTATTCTAGTAGAGTAACAGTCTAGAACTCTGTAAATAAAAAGCTTACTTTTTTGAGTCTTCATTCTTCTGTTTTGATGCTGGTTCCTTTTCAGGATTATTTCCTATATGGATGAATAAGTTAAAATCCTGTTTTTAGAGCACTCTCTAGAATAAGTTTAAAAATCTGTGAACAGGAAGGAGTCAATGGTCACCAAAACCCTACTGGGATGTCAGGAGTGAGGAGCCTGGGCCTTTGGTTTTTGTAGAGAACCCCTAGGCCCTCACCTGGCTCCCCACACATGCAGTCGTTCCAGCCAGGCCTCCTCCAAGGAAAGGCAGACACCATGGAGATGCTCCCCAAAGCCTCAGTTTCCAAATCAAGGGCTTCTAGGGAGGAATGGCCCATCTTCCCACCCACAACAAGTGGCCACCTTGTCACCTTCTCCACCCACTACATGGCCAGCCAACACCCACATCTACATGCAAACTACCAGCAGCATGCAACAAGACATAGCAAGGCACCTTCCTTCCAAGGGGAAGTGAGTAGAAACCACCAAGAAGAATGTGCACTAAACAGTTGCTCAAAAAGGGACCAAGGTTACGATTTTTTCTTTTCTTTTCCAGACAAGGTTTCATTATGTTACCCAAGCTGGCCTGAAACTTGCCATACTCCTGCCCCAGCCTCCCAGGTGCTGGGATTACAGGTATGTACCATCACACCCGACCTAGTTACTATTTCACTAGCTGTAGGAACATGGGACATTTCCACTGTCTACCTCTGATTCCTCAAACTCCAGTAGCACTGTATGCTGCACTCAGGAATTTTAACAAAACCTGGTTGCCTCCTCATGACTCACTAACTCAGCTGGAGCTCAAGGACACACCACCCCAACGTATGACTAGAGGATACCACAGTGTGCCACCAAAATACACTTCTATGGCCTATTTTGAGCCAGCTATTTGGAGAAACTGCAGACACATGGAGAGCTCTGAAAGCTGTCCTATTATGGAAGCACCTCTAAAGGAAACTGACATTAAGATGTAACTGTATGAGGACAGACAGCTACAGGGCAGCCTCTTACCTCCCCAGAGGCTTTCTATCTGCACAGCCTTCATTCACTATACGTTCACCCCCTCCCCACTGGAGTACCTGGTACTTTCTTGGAGCTCAGAATAATATACAAACTTCAACCATATGGCATAAACATTAAAAAATGCTTTTCTTCTTCTGTTTACCTATTGGTTTATTTTATAGATTCAATTATTAAACTTCCTGAGGGTGGAGGGGAAGTTCCCTTATCCCTAACTCATCCTCGCTCATCTTTCACTTTTCCTGAGTCTGCATCCTAAATGAGCTCTCAACTTCGTATACACCTCTGCACACTAGCTAATCTTTGCATAAGTTAACTACTCCTGAGTTTTAGCTGCTGCCCTGTGAAAGTGAGTCAATAACCCTGGCTGTCTTCATGAAGTGGATACAAGGACTGAGTCAGACAATGTGGATGAAGGAGTCACCTCTCAGAGTCTGCTATCTGTGCTCACTTAACAACTAACTGGTAAATAACATTACTCTGCTCCACCCAGTCCAGAGCATTGCCATCTCTGACCTTGACCTTCCTTGCATCCCGTACCCCTGGCTCCAGCAATTGCTACTCTCCAATTCATTCAACGCCCCCAGAGAAAGTTTTCTAAAAGGCTAGTCATAATCAGTCTCTCCTCTGCTCAAAACCATTCAGTAGCTCTCCAACGCACTGGAGACAAAGCCCCCCCTTAACACAGTAGCAATGCCCTCACAGTGACCTCACCCCAGTGTGCCCCATTCCACTTGTCTGGATTTCTGCCTGCATGCCAAAACTTTGGTACTTTTCGGTTCCTCAAGTGTACCTACTTGAACACCCTACACCCCGAGCCACTGTTAAGCGACAGAAAGGGTGTGAGGCCAATGCAGCATCTGCCCTGGGTGCCCAACTCTTCCAAGAGGATGGCAATTGGGTCTGTCCCTCTAGCAAGGCCTAGCCCCATAGACACTGTTACTTCTTACCACACCCTATCGTCTCCTCACCCTTGACAGACATGATACAAAAGCTAGGGCTCCAAACAGTAAGTGCAAGTCTATGTATTTGTTCTTTTCTTTTTTTTTGTAGCAACAACTAGAAAGAATGACTATCAAACCTCTCAAAAGGCTCGCTTACCCGATGCTGATGGCTGGGGCTGCTCGTTCTTCTGGGAGTTATTCACTGGCTGGGAGGCAGGACGAGGTGCGCTGGCTGCCTGCAATTGCTTCTGTGCAGGTTTCTGACCAGAGACAAGCTTTTGCGCTTGTGAAGGAATTCGCTGGGAGGAATTTGAAGGACACAAGACCCGCTGAGCCTGGCCACTGCTTGCAGATACCTGGCTCTGAGAAGGAAACTTCTGAGTCACTGGAACACGCTTTGGACCGTCACCCAGTGGAAATGTCACCTAAGATGGGAGGGAAATCAGCTTTATGGCCTCCTTGAACAAAAGATGAACATTTGAAAATTCTACAAAGCTTTTTAGGATAATGAATGAATGTCACTGATGCTAAATGGAACATTTCACAAAGACACAGCATATGGCTGAAAGGAATACTTGAATGATCCCTCCAACCCAAGTTCTTCACCCTAAATGTCATGCCCCACTAACAAGTGTTCACTAAGTAAACTTCCACTGGATGAGGGAAGACACTGAACATTTAAGAATTCCTGGAAATACAATCGTTTCCAAACTCTTGTACCAAAAATCTCAATTCCACTGAGCTTTCTTTCATATGATTAGAAAAAGACTAAAGTATAAAAGTATGCAACAGTGGTAGTCTTGAGTGAACAAGTTTGGAAAGCAGTCCACATTTTGGCATAAGCTCAGTTTTCCACAATAAGCTTTATTCATTTGCCAGTGTTTCATTTTCCAAATACTTACAGAATAGAGACTTAAAAAAGTCTATTTGCAAAGGGAACAAATGTAGGCTCTTCAAAAAGTTATCACTCAATTATTACTATACCTGTACGTAGCATATAGCAAGCTTAAGTAGCTGTTAAGACCCTAAATGAGTGTGGGTGAAAATTCCTCCAGCTTCAATAGTTCATCTCAATTACACGAGGGCCAGTGCTGGAAAGCCAAGCCTCACGTCCATCAGTGTCTCTGTATGCACACTCCACAAAGAGGGCTAAAATGTCAATACAAAGCCAATTCCTTCTCAAAATAAGCTTGCTCCACAACCTATAGGCACTCAGGCAGATCCAGTGTAGAATCAAGGATTCTGAAGTTACAATCCAAGGTAAAGAGAATTCCAGACACCAATCTCCATGTGATTTTTTTTTTGGCAGGGGGTGGGGGGGGTTGGGGAGGGACTGGGGTTTGAACTCAGGGTTTCATGCCTGCAAAACAGGTGCTCTACCACTTGAGCCACACCTCCAGCCCCTCCATGTGATTTTTAAAATGTGATTGTGACTAAAGGTAATTCCATTTACCTTAACAGGCCCTGGTATGTAGTTTTCTTTGGGTGTGTCCATGATGCCTGAAAAGAAAAATACCTTTCATTGAAAACCACCTGCTTTAAAGTATGAGGGCAGTAGGTTCCAACTCCCTCATGAAAAAGCTCCGCCACACACAGCACTTCACACTTCCTCGCACAAGTGCAGCTAAGTCTTCTCATCCGATACACATAACGCACAGGCGTGTAACCTTTTCCTCCCCTCTACACTGCACCCCAACCCTCTCAGGCACTGTACCCTCCTGAACTGACTTGTCCGTCTGCCCCTTCATCCTCTCTCTAGTAGACACTTCCATGCTGCACTGCCTGTTGGCACCTATTTGTCCCAGGGCTACCTCAAGCCACTTTACCTCTTCTCTCCCGCTTTCGCTCTTGGCTTTTTTTTTTTTCTTTATCCCTACAGCATTTTAGGCTCATAGCTGACCCCTAGTGTTGCCAAACCCAGCGCTCAACTCCGCCCTCACCTCACTGCATTTGACCAAGTTGATCAGCAATTCCTACCATCCTCCACTGCAAGGGCTCACATAGCTTCCAGGATTCTCTCCCACCTCAGTTCTTACCCTCCTTTGCTGGCGTGGCCTCATTTTCCCAGTCTAAGGGTCTGAGGTGACCCTCAAGTAAGCCTTTGGACCCGACTTCCCTGTCTACACCCTTTGTAGGAACCCTCATCCACTGCCTCTAAACACCATCACAGGGGAACTCAAGATGCAACATCTGCTCCAATCTCTCCTCGGGCTTCTAGACTCAGATACCAAGTACCTGCTCAGAATCTCCCAGCAATGTCTACCAGGCACCTCAATCCTGACACATCCAGAAGAGAAGGGAACCTCTTTCCTACATGTTCTTTTTCCCCTCCTGGGGGTGGAGGGAGGAGAGGCTGAACTCAGGTCCAGCGCTACTTCCCCATCTACACTCACTCCCAAGGTGAGCTCGCCCACACCACCCACAGGCTGCGGACTCCCAATATCAACTCCAGTCCAGACCTCTCCCCTGGCTCCAGACTTACGTCGCAGTCTGGTTAGCTCTCTCATAGTCCACACATTATCTATCAGCTTCTTTGATGACTGCAAAATAATCACGACAGAGTGAACCTGTTCAAAGTACACGGTATGCATCCATGCAGTTATCACAAGGAAACCCCCTCTTCCTATCACTGTATGCTAATTTTAAAGTAAAACAAAATGTTTTTTAAAAGATCATTGCTCTGATAGGTGAAATGACTCAAGTGGTAGACTGCCAGCCTAGCAAGCGTGAGACATGAAATTCAAACCCCAGTACTGCTAAAAAAAAAAAAAAAAAAAAAAAAATTACAGCTCACCGCCACACTCCCTGCTACTACCACCCAGTCCAACCAAAATTGTGGCCCTGGATTATTCACAACAGGCTTTCAATGGTCTTCCCGTGTCCACCTTTGCCCCACTGGCTCATTCTCAACACTACAGCTGGTAATCCTAGTGACACGGCAGATCTGTCTGTCCTTGGTTCAAAAGGCCCCAACTGCACCCCAGGTCAGTCAAAAAAATTCAAATTCCTACAGGCAGGAGGGTTTACATGCTCTCATAGGACCCTGACAACCTCTGATTTTACCTCCTCTGTCTACTGCATTTCAAAGCTCCTTTGAACTTCCTCAAAGTCCTGTTTGCTCTCCCTAATAGACTCCTCCTCCAAGTGTGCAGCTCACTCCTTCATTTCTTTCAAGTTCAAAGTCCCCATGTCCCCAGGATCATCTCTCCCTTATTTTTCTCCATAGTCCTTAACATCTTAGTGTTTTGTGGTGCCGAGGTTTGAACTCAGGGCTTCATGCTTGCTCTACCAACAAATGTGAATATCATTTCATGTTTGTGTGTGTGTGTGTGTGTGTGTGTGTGTGTGTGTCAGTACTGGGGTTTGAACTCAGGGCCACTTGGTAGGCAGGTGCTCTACCACTTAAGCCACAGCCCCAGAAACATTCTCAGACTCAGATATTCCAGCTACCTGCTCAAAACCTCCACAAAAATAAGTATCATGAGACTAAAGGCTTATTTGGTCCCATTGGATTTGCTGTTGTGCATAGCATGTAACATGACTCAAATACTTTAGAAATGAATCAATCCAATGACAAAGGAAATCAGTAAAAAAGACAGGTTAAAACATTCTGTTAGCCCATGCTGGGAGTAAGGCACAAGCACCATCAAGTAGGTAGAACACACACCAGGAAAAAAATCCTTACCCAGGTGCTCTTTAAATTCTAGAATCCAGTCACAAAGCATTCTCCCATTCCCAGTTTCATATTCAATTTACAAATAAGTAGCTCCCAATAAAGCCAGGACCCAGAGCCCTTATATAAAAGGGTGGATTAGTAAAAGCAATAAAGATTCATGCATGCTCTAACACTTTCTTCACTTTCCCTAACAACTACAAGTAGCAGAGGAATGAGATCATAACTCAAGGACTTTCATTCAACATTCTTCTGACAGGAGCTACAAACATTTGCCCCAATTTATTCTACTTTTCTTTCTCAGGAAGATGAAACACAGAGGAGTAAGACTCTGATCCAGAATTCTGGGGTAAGTTGCCCCATCCCCTGAGGAAGACTGCTCTCCAGGTGATTCAGATCTGCAGCTAGAGTCAGGACTCACATGACCTCCAGTTTCCATCAAGGCCAGACCAAAGGTTTACTGTTCTAAATAGGAACAGGGTTAGCAGCACTCAGGTATTTGTCTTTAACTCCTTCGGGCCTAAGAATGTCTTCAGAGATGAACAAGAGGGACAAAAATCAGAGTATGCTGCTGAAGAGCTTTTAGTTCAAAAGGAAGAGGAAGTAGAGCCATTAGAAGTCAAGGGCAGTAGCCACTTCTTCCTCCCCCATGTCTGTTAGAAATGGACACGCTCTGATCCAATCAGTTTTAATAAACTAGATCCTGCATTTTAACATCCCCTTGTGATTAGCACTCACCAATTCCAGTTACTAGCTCTCAATGAAAAAATCACTTGGGGAGCTTGTTAGGTCACCTGAGTCCTACCCCTAGGAGACTGATTTACTGGATGTGCATAGAGACTGTATGTTTAGCCAGGACCTCAAGTCACCCCGACATAACTGCTCTGGGGTCTTCGGTGTAGGCAGCAACGGCCAGGGAAGGCCTCGGCAGAAGGCTCTAGTTCATTGGCTCATCCAGGCCAGCAGGGCTACGGCCTTCCCAGCTTTCTATGTGAAGCAGCCTCTTTCCCCCCACACCCCGGTCCCCCCACTAGTTTTATCTCCTTCACGACGCCCATCACTGAGGGGGTGCGCAAGGAGGGGACAGGGGTTTGAACTCAGGGTTTAGTGCTTGCAAAGCAGGCGCTCTACCAGTTGAGCCACATCTCCAGTCCATCTTGCTCTAGTTATTTTGGAGATGGGGAAGGGGGGGGGCGGGTCTCACAACTATTTTCCCTAGCTGGAGTCGAACCGCGATCCTCCCGATCTCAGCCTCCCAAGTGGCTAGGATTACAGACGTGAGCCATCGGGGTCCGGCTAACCTTCCGTATTTCTTTCCCAGGTCCTTGCTCACTGACTACAAAACACAACCAGGAAGCCCCTTTCCCCCACCCACTCCACGCGACAATCCCCTCTCCTTTCTAGCAATCAGTCTCCGCGGCACCTCAGAGGATGCGCCGGCACCCAGGCGCGGATGAAGCTGCTGAAGAACCCCAGCCCGGGAGGGTACCGCGGAACGGGACGGAGAGCTGACACGGGCGGAGAGCGGACATCTCCCTCCCCTCCTGCCACCCGGCCCGCAGCCCCGCCAGCCATCAAAGGCCGCCCCGGCCGCTACACCTCACCCCAGTCTTTGCCCGCCACATACAGCTGGTCCCCTGGACTACCCACCGGCCAGCTCCCACCTCCGACCCAATCCACCAAGTCCTTCCAAGAGCTCAGCCGTTATAACGAAAAGGTTCTTTTCTTTAAGTAGCAGTTTAAACCCTCTCATCTGGAAGCTGATTGGCCTGAACTACAGAGAGGCTGCCTTGTGATTGGCTCAAAGCGAACGTGCCACGGCGCAGGTCGTGCGCAGGCGCACTTTCCCGTAAGATCCCGGAAGTGGTGGAGTCAACGGCCCGCCAGATCCGTGGCGGGTCTAACGCCCGCCGTGGTCTCCAGGACCAGGCATTGGTCAGTGAAACAACAGCCCCTTGGATTCAGGGTTGTCGCATAGGAGATAAAGTCGGAGGAGGTGAGCGAACGTCTCGAACGTGCCAGTAAGTAAGATGGCGAGAAGGGCAAGGCAGAGTGAGGCTGGTCGATAGCGCAGCACTCGCCGCAGTGCCCTTGGCGCGTGCGCAGTGGACGTGCACGCAGAGCGATCGATCGGACAGAATTCGCGCCTCCATTTTTGTAGAATAGAGCCGGAGACCCAAGAATCGGATCAGCGGGTACGGGGTGTGGGCACACGGGGTGGACGGCGGGTGCGGTTGGCCGGGGCCTGTGGTGGACTACATGAGACAGTGGGGCGAGGCGGGGAGGGTAGTGAGTGAGCGGGGAGGCATGCGCCCCGAGTTCATGTTCCCAGGCTTGCGGGCTGGGCCTGCACACCCCGTTTCTCAAAGGGCCTCGCTGCTGCTGTGACCCCATCCCTCGTTCGCCTGTGCGTGGAGATGGAGGTGACGAGCACGGCTGCGCGCCCTCCCTCGGCCCCGCTCCTGCTCTGGTGTCACCGGTCCTAGGTCGGGATCTTCCTTTCCTCGTGCCTCAGTGGCCCCACCTGCGAAGTGGAGGCGATAAGCAGGCTTCCTTTTCCCCGGCCCGGTGGGTGGAAGTTCTGTAGGAGTTAAGAAACGGGGGCTCGACCACTTTTTCCTTTTTAAAGTCTTGTCCACCCCCGATGAGCCGGGCAGGGGCGAGGACTGAGTTCCGAGACCGCGGTGGCAGCTACTTTATGTTGGGACGAGTTCTCAGCCACACTGACTTAGCTCGGTGGTTGTCCTAAGGCTGAGCTCCTTTGGTCATCCCATCTGTGTGCCGATGTCTTCTCCACTAGTGTAGATTTGTGTACATTTGTTTCCATATGTACTGGAATACATTGATACTTTTGATTGAATGTACTAATGTTTAGAAAGTGCTTGGAATTGTATCAGAAGGTAGGAAGTGCTTGATAAATGTTAACTGTTATTGACACCCATCAAGATTGCACAGTGGGTAAGAACCCAGGTCCTGAGGTCACTTTTATTCTTTATTTCTTCCCCAGAGCCCAGCAACCTGGTATCTCTTGCAAACATATACATGCATAAAGATACTGATACATTGTTCCGGGCCCCGGTGGCTCACACCTATAATCCTAGCTGCTCAGGAGGCTAGCGTTTAAAGCCAGCCCAGGCAAATAATTCGGGAGACCCTATCTGGGAAAAAAATCCATCACCAAAAAGGGCTAGTGGAGTGGCTCAAGCCTCAAGCCGTAAGAGCACTTGCCTGCCAAGCAAGCATGAGGCCCTGAGTTCAAACCTCAGTACCTCGGAAAAGGAAAAAAGATATATTGTAATCAAATGATCTACTCATGTCCACAATTGGAGTTCATTTTTGCATAAGCCAGAAAGCATACTTTACAGTTTTCTGTTTCACTTTTATAATCTAAAGGGGAACATAGACACTTGGGAATAAATCTGAGTACCTAATCTGTTCACATTTTTACATTTCTTTCCATTTGTTTTGTATAGTTGTTTTGTCCATATCTTACTTGGCAATATTTTATTAAGCAATGTCACTTTGAATCTTTCCAAAGCTTTCAACTTAGTTTTAATTTCATAGTGCAATGGCCTTTTTTTGTCCTCATTTTGACTATCTAGGTTGTATAATTATAGTGATAAGTCCAGCTGCCTTAAAACAGGTTTTAAGAATGAACATAACAACCATTAGTAAACAGACACCTCAGCTGATAGAAGCTGAAGTCCAGACATCCAACAGAACAGCAGTTGTCTTGCTTATTGCAAATACCAATGAATGTTTAATTAACAGAAGAAATGGAATCTTCAGGGATAGCAGCAATAAAGAATAAAAACCATAGGTGGGTAGTTTGGTGGAAAAGAAAAGTTAATGAGAGTTTCTAATATAAATATCAGCTAATGTTACCTGAATAGATTCAACTCAGTGCTTCACATGCACGGTCCTGTTTAACCTCCAGTAAGCCAAAAATGAGGTTCCTGAACAAAGATAATGCAGCTAGTCAGCTGTGATTTAAGCCCTGCACGATTAAGTCTGACCAAATAGACCTGAATTGCTTTGGATTTACTAGTGCCTCTACCTTTTGCTGTCTACCCATTGTCTCTTGCAGCTGGCAAGGAAACTGTCCTCTTCTCCAAGATGTACAGAACCAAAGTGGGCTTGAAGGACCGCCAGCAACTTTACAAGTTGATTATTAGCCAGCTGCTGTATGACGGCTACATCAGCATTGCCAATGGTCTCATCAACGAAATCAAGCCGCAGTCAGTTTGCGCACCCTCAGAGCAGCTCCTGCATCTCATCAAGCTAGGTATCTTGTGAATGCACCTCATAGAGCTCACCGTGAACTTCTAGATGTTTCCACATGACAGAATTTTTCCATTACCCTTGTTTACTTTTAGTGCCAAGTGCACTAGGTACTGAAGCATTAAGTGAAGTCCAGATCATGGAGACTTTAAGCTAGTTCTAAACTTTATACACTTTATTTGGAGCACTCAGTCATTGTATCATTGACATTCTTCAAGTCTCAGCTCAAATGTCACCTCAGATTCCTAGACACCTTTTTAAAAATAATCCCGCTGTCTTCCCCATGCTTCTCAGGTTGCTCTACCACAATAGTTCCCATTTTCTTCATGATAGAATTGCTGTCTGAAAGTCCTTTATTGCTTATTTGGTTTCCCTACCATCCTCACCTTCCTGCTCCCCAGCATCCCTCTCCTCCCACAAAAAATAGACTACAGCCTTGGTAAAGATCAGGACTTTGTCTTGTTCAGTGGTGTATTCTTGTGCTTTCTTACATTCAATAAAATGGCTTACAGAGCATGTCTGTTCCTTTTGACTTATAAAGCCAATTGTGAGGATTTATCCTGAGGGAAGTAAAATGAATAAACTAAAATGCCCCCACCACATGGAATTAGCTATCAACTTTTAAACATCTATAAAACTGAGTAGAGTAGTATAATGTATAGATGAAATTTATTAGCAAAGACAGATTTTTATTGTGTATGATTAAATGACCAAGGAAGTCATCTACACAATGTAAATCTATATTTTTGTTTTGAGAAATAAAACAATTATGTGCATGGGTAAAGGCCAAAAGAATTCATGACAACAGTAACAATAACGTTCCCTGGGTGGTAAAATTTAGATCACTTTCTTAGTCATATATACTTCTAGTTTTTCCTACTGATAAGAGTATCATTTATGTGCTGTGTGGTTGTTTTAAAACTTAAAGCACGTATACTCAATACTCTTGAGTTTATTTAACTCACATGTTTTCAGAAACATTTCCCGGGATGTTAAACAGTGTGGCTGACTGAATGAGTTTCAAAGCTGCTAACAGATCTTAGCCTTAAAAATACTGAAACTCAACAAAATTAGAGATAAGGGCAAAATAGTTTCTGCTGGGTAGCAAGGGGGTGGGGGGGAGAGGGAGGGGGTGAGCGGGGAGAGGGAGGGAGTAGGGGGGTAAGGGAGGGGTAGGGGAAGGGGGTGAAATGATCCAAATATTGTATGCATATATGAATAAAAAATAAATAAATGAAAATAAAAATCATTAAAAAAAATACTGAAACTCAGAATGGGGGAAAAATGAATAATTTCACTGCGAACCGCTCTTGCTCTTTCTATTGCATTTCTGAGGTTGTAGTTAAAGTAGTAAACTCTGGCTATAGAGCCTGACCCTCGGCCCATCCACGTTGCCTCTCAGCACTGTGAGCCTTGAAGAGTCCTGGGCAATAGTTGCATAATTTTGTAAAATGTTAATTGTTGATTGTTTCCTAGAAATTGTAGATTGATACTGATGAATATCTTCAGTTTAGATCCAGAACTTTTGTCTTGGCCGTTAATTCTTTTCATACTGTTTAATTTTGATTTCTTTCAGGGATGGAAAACGATGACACTGCAGTTCAGTACGCAATTGGCCGTTCAGACACAGTTGCCCCTGGCACAGGGATTGACCTGGAGTTCGACGCAGATGTCCAGACAATGTCCCCAGAAGCCTCTGAGTATGAGACATGCTATGTCACATCCCATAAAGGACCGTGCCGTGTAGCTACCTACAGTAGAGATGGGCAGCTAATAGCCACTGGATCTGCTGATGCTTCCATAAAGATCCTTGACACAGAAAGAATGTTGGCTAAAAGTGCCATGCCCATAGAGGTAAAGCCGTAACATAGTAGCCTTTTGTTGCTCAGCCTGGAGGATGAGAGTGTGGTTTAGACCTGCTTTGGTGCCTGCAATTGTGGATGCTATGCTTTGAGTCAGAAGGCTTCGTCCTTGAGCATGTGTCCTTCTCTCGTTGGCCCAGGTCATGATGAATGAGACTGCGCAACAGAACATGGAAAACCACCCTGTGATTCGAACTCTTTACGACCACGTGGATGAAGTCACGTGTCTCGCTTTCCACCCAACAGAACAGATCCTGGCCTCTGGTTCAAGGGATTATACTCTTAAATTGTTTGATTATTCCAAACCATCTGCAAAAAGAGCCTTCAAATACATTCAGGTTAGAAATGTTTGGAATGGACAAGCACGAGGCCCTGAGTTCAAACACAAAAATTTAAAACAAAAAAAAGTTGAAATAAAAGAAATTTTTGGAAGGGAGCTTTACATTTTAATACAGTGAACCATTGTATGACTTTAAAAGAACAAAAAGTGGTTTCAGTGGTCATCTTATAAAACAAAAATAGAACAACCAGGACACTTCCATATTCCATTGGCACTTGGTTCACATCCTGACACGTGCTGGCTGCTTCTGGCTGGTCAGGGCTGCTGCTGGCTGTTCACAGAACAAGAATTCAAGTCCACTTTTTCACTGAGGTGACAGATTCCCCTTAAAAGCAAAACTGCCACCTTCCCTAGAAGTATAACTTGTGGGAATCCAAAAAAAAAAAAAAATGCATTTGGTTATAAAGAGCAAGTGTTTCTTGGGGAGGTGACATTTGGTGCCCTGCTTTAAATATATGTTACAGAAATACTAATGTTTTAATAGTGGCTCCCCTCTTTCAGTGATTAACCTTATTTTTTACTCTTTGTAGCCCTGGGCAAATTATAGATGCCATTCTCATTTACAGGTGTGTTTATCTTCAGGCACTGCATCATATACCATGCACCAATAATCTGTTAATCTACTTACAGCTCATTCTCAGTTCTCCCAGTGTTCATTTGCAAATGAAGCTCCCTTCTGTAGTTGGAGATAATCAATCAAACCAGTAAATAAGACAGTTTTAGAAATCTCTGCTCCAAAAAAAAAAAACCTTATGCCAGAAAGTACTTTTATTCCTTCTTATACCTGTGTGATACCTGGTGTTTGTTTTATGGTTTCTTTGCATCATTTAGATTTTATTTCCCATGTTTCCTCTGGATTTAACTGTTTGCTAATTGTCATTTACGTAATGTCTCTGTCATTGCAGGAAGCTGAAATGTTACGCTCCATTTCTTTTCATCCCTCTGGAGACTTTATACTTGTCGGAACACAACACCCTACTCTTCGCCTTTATGATATCAACACGTTTCAATGTTTTGTTTCTTGCAATCCTCAAGATCAGCACACAGATGCTATATGCTCCGTTAATTACAATCCCAGTGCCAATATGTACGTAACAGGTAGCAAGGACGGCTGCATCAAATTATGGGATGGTGTTTCCAATCGCTGCATCACGACCTTTGAGAAAGCTCATGATGGTGCTGAAGTCTGTTCTGCCATTTTTTCCAAAAATTCTAAGTACATTCTCTCAAGTGGAAAAGACTCTGTGGCTAAACTTTGGGAAATCTCAACAGGACGAACACTGGTCAGATACACGGGTACGTGAGCTGTTGATGCTAACATTTCTATTTTATTTTACCATTTCCAGAGCTCATAAGTAGAGTAGAGCAACACAATAAATGTATGCATTTGGCAAGGTAGATGTTATCCCTCTCAGTTAAGAGGAAACCAAGGCTTAGAGGTTAAATCATGGGGCTGAGGTTGTAACTCAGTGGTAAAGCACTTACCTAGCCTGTGAAAGGCCCTGGGTTCCATCCCCATCACAGCAAAAAGGAAAAAAATAGAGATTAAATCATCTAACCACAGTGACAGTAAGAGGCAGAGCTGGGGATAGAATCATGGTTTGTTAACTGTGCTCTTCTCAATACATCACAGCTTAGGTAGACTAGGTCTGGATTCCACACAGGTAACATTTGAGAACCTGGTGGTCCATTCATACACCAGTCACCTGCCCTCTTCCCACAAAAACATGAACACAGGCCAAAGGGAAGTCTGTTAGAGGACCTCAGTAATGGCATGCACTTGGGGAGAAAGGTGAGAGGGAAGACCTTGACCCAGCCCTATGAGGGCAGAGGTAGCCCCCTAATGACACCTGAACCAGGACGTGAAATGGACTCAGCAGGAGAAAACCAAATTTGAACTCATTAAATTCTTTCATTCAGTTGGTCTGTCATTGGTATACCATGAGCTCTTTTTATAATGAATCTATTTAAATTTATCTTATCACCAGTAACCAGGGTTGAAAAATGAGTAGTATTAAAAAATTATGCCTTACTTTCCTGTTCCAATAGCAGCGAAGACTTTTTTTGGTAGAAACCCTTTAGGAAATTTCACTGGCTTCCTCTCTTGTGAGATATATTTGTGTTATACACTAAAATCACCAACCATAGCTCAGAAAAGTCACAAAAACACTTTTATTGAAGAGGCTCTGCTGTGTGAGTTAGCGCCTTGAAGAAAATTGAAGTGCTGAAACCACAAGGGTGCAGCATAACCTACCTAGATGTGTCTCCTTGGGAAGGATGTTTGCTTCCCTGCTGCCTCCCTGGCAAATCTCCAGAAGAGCCATTTTAATCATCATTCTTGATGATTTTGCTGAGACTCTTGTATGAAGCTGTTTTGAAAAACAGCTAGTCTTGTAAAGAACTGTGTGCTTATTTCATGAAGAGGCTACAAGAGCGATCAGAGTTAAGGTGTAAAAGAATGGTCCCCTCCACTACTGATAGCCTGTTGTGAGTAGTGATGCGTCTGGACAGATGTATAGACTGCTGACAAGAGCTTAGGTTTGTAATGGTCTGGAAGGTTTTGTGCTAGTGAGTGGGTAGTTGGTTTCTTTAACTGGAGAATTACAATTTGGGTTTTCAAATTACCTTTTTACTTATTCACAAGTGGAGATCCTGTCAAGTCATGTCAGCACATTGAGGTTTCTCCAAGTGTTTCTGAAATAAATGACAGAAAAGGAAAAACTCTAAAGGGAGCATTAAAAAATTTGGTGCTAAATTAACACTATAGAACATACTACACATAATCAAACAGGTTAACATTCTCAATCTATAAGAGGCTTTATAAATAAGAAAACGATAAGCCCAAATTTGACATGGGAAAGGCCAAAAAGCAAAATAAAAAATGTGCAATAAATATAAGATGATCAGTTGTAATAAGTACAAAAAGGAGTATCTTTTGGCTCATCAGATTTCAGAAATTTTAACATATAGTAGTATCTAGTATTGATAAAGATTTGAAGAAATCTACATATTTTACTGGTAGGCAGATCAATTGCTAAAATATTTCTGAAGGGCAATCTGGTGTCATGTATCAAAAATTTAAATATGTGGGTTTTGTCACACTGTATCTGTGCTTAGAAATTGAGCCAAAAAGAATAATTGAACAATTAATGCACATACATAAAAGAATGTCCATCCTCTCATTTAGAGTCATTGAAGGTTAGAAACAACATAAGTTTTCACCATAAAACATTGAATAAATCCATTCTGCATAAAACCTTTAAAATAAATACTCACTGGGACTCGTCACGGTGGTACATGCTCATGGTCAGCTAAGAGGGAAGCCAAGGGAGGTCATGCTCCAAGGTCAGCCCTGGGCAAAAACGAAACCTTATCTGAAATTAAACAGAAGGACTTGGGTCATGCTCAAGTGATAGAGCATCAAGGCCCTGAGTTCAAACCCCAGTACTGGGAAATAAATAGTCATGGTGGCATTTCTTTAGGACAGGCAAGAAAGTTAAGTCTTATGAGTATTAAATAGTTTCCTGAAGGCCACATCAGTAGTAAGCGCTGACTTCACTTTTAACCCCAGAGCGTGTACTTTTATCCACTAAACTATACTCATTCCTTCTTACAGATCTGCACCACCCACTCGCCTATGAAAACAGGTGTGAGCTATGCCCTGATTTCTGTAACTCACAAATGAGTGTCCATATACAGATATTTGGAAAGGATATCCACCAAAATATGAGCAGCGTTGTCTCTGGGTGGTGAAATTATCTGGCAGTTTTAATGTTCTTTATATTTTAATACTCTAAACATAAAGTGTGTTTTATTTTTTGTTATAAAATGATAAAGCTTTGTTTTGGAAAGAGAATGGCCATACACTTTGTCCTAGTAATTCTGTTCCTAGGAGTTTAATCCTGAGGAAATAAAGAGCTGTCTGTACAAAGAATGTTTTTCACAACATTGTTTATAAGTGATACAAATAAACTTCTAGCAGTGAAGGAAGTGTTAAGGAATGATGCTTTTAGACATGAGACACTTGCAGCTAGTAAATGCAGAAAAAGTGCTCAACACAAGGTTGGTTTAAGCTACTATGAAAAATATATAACGCAGCACCAGTTTTGTAGGGTGTTTTGTTTTTGACGGGATTGGGGTTTGAACTCAAGACTTCCTGCTTACAAAGCAGGTGCTCTACTGCTTGAGCCACACCTCCAGTCCGTTTGTCTCTGGTTACTTTTGGTCATGGTGTCCCCACACTATTTGCCTGGGCTGGCCTCCTCCTGATCTCAGCCTCCCTTGTCACTAGGATTACAGGCTTGAGCCATGAGCACCTGGTTCCTTTTTGTGTTTTTCTGCATAGCTGTGTATCAGAATAAAACGTAACAGGGTTGCCTTAGGCAAGGGGCAGAAAGATGGTTTTCCTTTTGATGCATTTTTAGAGTTTGCATATTGTATAATTTGTTTCACTCACCAGTTTTAAAGCATTTTTTCCATGGAACATTTAAGAACAATGTAGAACATTCTGAGGTCTGAGTCGTGAACTTGGAGCCCTCGCAGGCCGACCCCTTGGTCCACAGGCCCTTAACATCTTGGTTTCTGTGGCAGGCGCGGGCCTGAGTGGACGGCAGGTGCACCGGACACAAGCCGTCTTTAACCACACCGAGGACTACGTGTTGCTGCCTGACGAGAGGACCATCAGCCTCTGCTGCTGGGACTCGAGGACGGCTGAGCGCAGGAATCTGCTGTCCCTGGGGCACAACAACATTGTGCGCTGCATTGTGCATTCGCCCACCAACCCTGGGTTCATGACATGCAGTGACGACTTCAGAGCCCGGTTTTGGTACCGGCGATCAACCACTGACTGAGTCGCCCCACTGAAAGGACTCTTGTCTCGAGGACTCTGCCTTGCTCCCCTGTGTCCTGCCGTCAGCTTCAGTCGTAAGTCAAACCACCTGCAGCGTGCTCCCACCTCTTACCTACATCCTTCTTGGATTTGTACAAGAGAATCTTTTTACCTTGATGGAGAATCATGGTAGAAAAGGTTGGAAACAGATCCGTGCAGTTCTGCATTCACTGATTATTACAGTGTGATTTTTATCGGCTTTGTAAATACAGGACTCGCTGTTTCTTTGACTCTGGGTCATTTGGAGGAGGATAGACTATTAAAGTGCTTTCTAGATCACAGGTGAGTCTACCGTGAGGACTTGGTTCGGTTCTCCTGCTCCCCTCTCTGTGTATTTCCTTTCCAGATGCATTGTGGCAGATGAGCAGCTCTGAGGACCTGGAGTTGCGTGCCATGTTGAACCACTTTTGAGAACCTCTCAACTCTATCCTAAAGTGACACCATTCTGATAATAAAGCGCAGATCTGCAACTTCAGTGCTCTGTATTTTTCCCTTCAATAAAACGAATGGCCCGTGTTTCCTGAAGGTTCATCAGGAGCTGGGCCCATCGTACCTCACCCAGTATTTTTCCGCCACTTAGTAAATGCGTTCCTAATAAAATGATTGGCAGTCGATGGGAAGCACCATGAATGATCTGTGAGATCCAAGTGAGGTTAGGAGGGCTGGCCGCTGCCCTCAGTCTGTCTCCACCTTGATACTGCTTGGCTTTCTTAGGTCATCTTTTTTTTCTTTTGGTGGTACTGGAGTTTGAATTCTGGGCTTCTGAGCTTGCTAGATAGACCCCTACCACTTGAGCCACTCCACCAGCCCCTATTAGGTCATCTTAAGGCTTGCTTTTTGGTTGTCTCCAGCATGACTGACTTCTCATGGCCAGTGCCCATGGGAACTGTGTTCTTAGAAGACTTATGTGATCCATCCAATAGAGGTTTGGTTTTTCTTGACATTTTTTAGAAGGAAATATTATTTCTCTGGACTCAGTTCTGTCTAGGTGAGAGAACCCCACATTCCCCTCTTACTAACATAAACTGCTTTATGTTTTATCCAAAAAAGCAACTCCCTCATGATCCAGGAAGCAGTACCTAGGAATATAATCTAGGCGCACTTGGTAGAAATAATAAATAGGTTAAAGTGAAAGTAATTGCTGCATTTTGCAAGAATCTCTTACAGAAAAATTCTGCTCTAGTCACTATCCTTGGGATCATTTTAATTGCTTGGTGTGTAAAGCTATCTTACACATTCCCCACGTGGTAAGTCACAGAGTTTTAGGGGCTAGGCACTGGTGGCTCATGCCTATAACCCTAGCTACTAGGGAGGCAGAGATCAGGTGGATCATAGTTTGAGGCCAGCTTGGGCAAATAGTTCTCGAGTTCCCATCTCAAAAATACCCAACACAAAAAAGGGCTGGTGGAGTGGCTCAAGTGGTAAGAGCATCTGCCTAGCAAGCATGAGGTCCTGAGTTCAAACCTCAATACCACAAAAAAAAAAAAATCAGTGTCTTAATTCAGATTTCCAAAGAGCTGTATTTTTCAGTCCACAGTGAGTGCAAGTTTAGTTTTATTTTGCATCTTGATTCTCCAGTATTCGAACATGGCCGTCTGGGGTACTACCCTTATGAGAGTAAAAGAAAACTACTCAGTGGGAACAAGAATAACCAGTTCTACAAAAAAAAAAATTAGCCAGTAGAACTCCTCCCTTCTTTTTCTGACTTCCTTGTTGCTTTCAGCCTATGAAGCTGTAAAACAGGTTTGGCGAGTGTAGTAGTCCACCCTGGTTCACGTACTGAAGTGACCGCTCACATTCCTGACCACAACTCCACTGGATCTTTCCAGTTACTCATGAATGAAAGCAATAGTGCCTGCTCTTTATAGTTTCTAGACTGATCTCAGCAGCTCTGTAGTTTCAGGACTTACAAGATCAAGAACTTTTGCGTGTTTTTAAAATAGATTTCTTTCTTTGCTTTATTTTAAAAGTCATGTTAATGTTTGGGCTGTTATAAATGCCAAGAATATTATGTAGACTTGGTGTTTGTACCTTAGTGATGGTACCATGGTACCGCTGAGCACCCTGGCATTTAAATGATGGATAATACCCAGTGAGAATGAGAGCACCTTCTGTTATTTTTAAAATATATGTGATCTCTAAAATAAACTTTGTATACAATAGCAATTAAAGCTAGTTCTTTTTTTTTTTGGAGCTTGCTTTGAACACCTATACTCAAACAGCAGTTATAACTGGTACTCTTCACACTTTCTGTGGTGCATGCTCTAGAAGTCAAGTTTGCAGCTAAACCACTTCTAGTTCTGTATCTTCACTCTTCTACAGTGTGTGAACTTAAAGAACTTGAGTATAATTCAGGGTCTTTGGATCATTTGGAGAAAACTGTCTTGTCTTGTACTTGGGCTTTCTGTAGGAAAGGCAATGTGGGGAGTCTGGTCTCAGCTCTGTCACCGACTTGGTAAGTAGTCAGGCGAGTCACTTATCTTCTGGCCAACAGCTTCTGGCTTGTCACCATGGTCTCCAGTGTGCACTTCAGCCAGTGAAGTTTCTTTTTAATGCATCCTGATGTAAACAGGTTTAGGGGAAAGGGAAGGCATTGCTTTTATGGGGAAGACTGCTGTTTCTGAAAGTACTCTGAGAGCCCGCTCAGTACAGACCTGAGTAGAATTTATTTTAATCTCTCAATAGCTGAGCTAGCAAGAAGGTAAGGGAATTCCTGAGAGGCAAAAACAACAAAACAAATATTTTCAGAGGAGTAAGAGTGCTCCAGCTGACAGCTGGACCAAAGACATATGTCAATCCTGGCAGCCTAATGGTTTCCAAACAGACATCACATCTCTGAGCCTTCGTGGGATAGGAACTTTGATCAAGATCCATAAGGCTGAAGTTCAAAAGTTGCCCCATTCTACTCCCATAGGAAAAGGGTGAACTTGGCAAAATCCCACCTCCTCTGCATTTCCTCGCGGGTTCTAAACGTGGAGAAAGACAAGTGGAAAATGTAAAGCCATCTCCAGCCAATAGTGACCCTGAGTGCCTTGCAGAAGTTGGCGCAAATTCTCTGTAGAACACGTCTTAACCCTCAATTTTCTCAGATAAAGCTTACAATCACAAGTTGACAGTCAAATACACTAAAAAACAAACACAGAATGAGATTTGCAAAGATTTAGGGAATTATCAGATGCAGAATATGTAAGCATGTAGAGTATGGTTAAAGAGCTGAAACAGCTGGGCGATGATGGCTCATGTTGTAATCCTAGCTAGTCAGGAGGCAGAGATTAGGAGGATTGCGGTTCGAAGCCAGCCCGGGCAAATAGTGAGACCTTATCTCGAAAAACCCTATCACAAAAAATTGGGCTGGTGGAGTAGCTCAAGATGAAGGCCCTGAGTTCAAGCCCCAGTACATCAAAAAAAAAGCTAAAACAGTAACTAAAATGTGACCAAGGATCAAGAGTAGATTTGAGAGCCAAGCTTGATGGGGCATTCCTGTAATCCCAGCACTCAGAAAGCTGAGACAGGAGGCTCAAGTTTGAGGCCAGTCTGGGCTACATTTCAAGACCCAGCCAAAAACAAAAAAAAAAGTAGGTTTGAATTAAACTTGTAGAAAATTAGAGCAATTCTATGGCTTTCACACTTTAATGCTTTTGTCCCCTCCCTTGGGATTTTCAGCCTCAGACCTTCTGAGGCCTCTTTCCCAGTCATATTTTGGCGAATTGACCCTTCCCCATCTCCCATGACAACTGCCTGCCTGTGGGATCACTTTCTGCCCTGGTTTTTCTTGTTTTGCCAACATCAAGCCTTTCCTGTAGCTTCGTGTTTCCTCTGTGTCCACAGCATTTCTTTTGAGTCTTTTTTTAATCCTTGTTTTGATTCCTTTTCTCTCTCAACCTGGGTATCAAAATTCAAGCTAGTTAAAATAAAAGGCAAGGAAAAAATTTTGAAAAAAACTTTGGGCTGGAAAGCTGAGTTTCCTTTATTAGTTACAGCAACTGCCAAACCCCAGTACCCCTGAATCATGCCTACACCAGAACATTTGATGATAGTTGGCAATTTATGAAGTTCTTTTTTGCGGTACTGGACTTGAACTCCGAGCCTACACCTTGAGTCGCTCCACCAGCCATGTTTTGTGATGGGTTTTCTCAAGATGGAGTCTCGCAAACTATTTTCCCAGGCTGGTTTAGAACCTCGATCCTACTGATCTCTGCCTCCTGAGTAGCTAGAATTACAGGCGTGAGCCACCAGTGCCTGACAATTTATGAAATTCTACTCCAGCTATTTTTATGGATTATCTTCCTGAGATTAAAATCTGCCAGATAATGTAAGGTGATTTTAAAGCAGTGCAGTCAAGACTTCTGCCAAGCCTTTAATATCTTGGACATCCTTGGTCATGTTTGTGTGTATTTTGTAGTTTGGGTACTAAGTGCCCTGTGTTAAAATACTACCAGACTAAGCTTCAGCATGAAAACAATGTAAAAGCATACAGAAAGCATACAAAAGCAACTTGCCTTCATATGCACTTATTAGGCTCTATAGAAGTAAATTGATCAGATTCACCAAGCCAGAAAAGAAAATTTGATCCAAAGTGCTGTTCTCAGTAGCATGTTTGCCAAGAGAATTAAGAAACTCAGAAGAATCTCCCTAACTTGGCTCTCTCGAACTCTTGAGCCTTCAAACAGACATATTTCGAAAGCACCCAATTTCCTAGAACACACAGCCCTTGCAATATTGTTGCATGTGAGAGACTCACTTGCCTTAAGACATAACTGGATTGCGGCCAAATACAGCAGTTTCTCACACCTTCCATTCATAAAAGCCACAGACAAGTCAAACATGAGACTGAGAAATCAAGCCCTGTTCACAGAATCCCATCCTCAGCTAGCTATGGAGAAGTTAGCCTAATTCATTTCAGGGCCAATCCCATTACTTTTGTGTCTTAGTTTTGTCTTCTGGTCTAGATTGAGTTCCCTGGAAACACAAATTACAGCATTGTAGCTTGCAATTTACAAGCCCTGAAGTATGAGGAAGGACCTGATGAGATGAGCTTGCCTATGTTGTGGGAACTGTCTGAACTTGAGACAGCGTGGCCTCTGTCTCAGGTTCAAATGCTGGCTAAGTTTCTTCACTCTGGCCTTGAGCAAGTTTGTCCTTCCTTGTTTATACTTTCTATTTTGGCGGTTCTGGGGTTTGAACTTAGAGCTAGACTGGTGCTGTCTGCCTCTAGTCCTTTTGCTTTGGTTATTTTGGAGATAGTGTCTTGCTTTTTGGTTGGTTGGTTGGTTGGTTTGGTTTGGTTGGTTTTTTGCCCAGGCCAGTCTAGAACTGTGACACTATTTTTATGCTTCCTGCTGTAGGTGGGATGATAGGGGCATGCTACCATGCCCAGCTTTTCTCATTGGGGGGGTCTCACAAACTGTTTTCCCCAGGCTAGCATGGTACCATGATCCTCCTGATCTCAGACTCACACAGGCACACACCACTGTACCCAGTTATTGATTGAGATGGGGTCTTGCAAACTATTTGCCCAAGCTGGCCTCAAACTGCCATCTTCCTAATCTGAGCCTCCCAAGTGACTACAATTACTGGCATGAGCTACTAGCACAGTTTTGGTTTGGTTTGGTTTGGTTTTGGTTGTTTTTTAGCAAACAAAGCAGGAGTAGGCTGATCCTCCTGCTTCAGCCTCCCAAGAGCTGGGATAGATATGTGCCACCACACCTGATTTCCATTTTACTTTTTTATTATAAATAATTTCAACTGTATACAAAAGTCAATAGTACAGTAGAAACTGGTTGCCAGGAGCTAGGAGGGGAATGAGGAATGCCTGCTAATGGGGTTTTTCTTGGGGTGGTGAAAATGTTTTGAAGTTAGATGGTGATGGTGGATATGCTGAAAACCTCTGAATCACATACTTTAAAAAGGTGAATTTTATGGCACTTGAATTATATCTTAATAAAGCTGGAGTTTTCATTCTTAGAAAATGCTTACAGCATAAAGAAATCCAATGCACCTGACACTCAGACTCCCCAACATTCATTAGGACCAACCTTGTGCATCAACCTCCATTCATATTCCTTTTTTGTGGGTGACTCTGAAGCAAGACCTCAGATGTATTTTATCTATAAATATTTCAGTATGTACGTCTGAAAGATAGACTTTTAAAAATACAGCAACGTTACACCTGCAAACATTAATGTGAGTTCCCATCTCATGAATTCCTTAACATTCTCACATATCCATTCAATGAGTATCCATATTCATGATTTACTTGCTCTAAATTAGGATCCAAATAAGGATCATAGACTGGGATCTGATGCTTTGTCTCTTCACCGTCACATTCCGCATCTTTCCTCCCTTGCAGTTTGTTGAAGAAACTAGGTAATTTAGCCAAATTAACATCTTTTCCCAGTTCCTCCTCAGTCAAATGGGAGGAGAGAGAGGAGAAGGAATCTTTTAAAGGTGCAGCTGGGTTACGTGAGGTAACTTGTGCCACGTGGGGAGATCAGCTATTGTGGGGCAAACCCCTTGCCCTCCAGGTGACTGGTGAGCCCAGAGACGACTCTTCAGGCCCTGCTGATCCTAGTGCTTCGAGGTCTCTTGGGTTCTTTTATGCTTCTCTACCCAGCCTGTCCACATATAGAGGTCATTTCTCTGGCAAACACGCTCCACATGGTGGCAGAACTGTCCTCCAAGAGAGCCTGGCCTGCCACCCACTCACCAACTCTGTCTGACCATGGCAGAAGGCAGGAAACCTTTATCCCCAAGACAGCTGACATTGGCTGGGAGTGGTGGCTTCTCCACCAAGTATAATTCATCCCCTCCTTTAAGGCATGGGTGACAGGCCAGCCTGCCACCTCCTCTCCACGCTGGTTTAACAGCTTCTCCAGCTGATAAAAGGGCTTTTAACACAAGAAAGAGAAGGGGACTGAAGGAGCAGAAACAAGACTTCTGTAGCTAGTGGACATTGCTCTAACACTATAGAAATAGCACCTATTGGTATTTTGGCATCCTCATTGGTACCTAACTTAGAGCTGAAATGTATTCTTCTTTTCAAGGTTTTCAGAGTACTGTGCTCAACACTTCTGAATGCTGGGCAAATGTCAGTGGTCCCTGCTCAGAAATCCTCACATTCAGAGTGAGTCATTACAAATTAGTTTGGGCTCCAAATGTTTCTGATTTTAAAAAGACCAGGTGTGTTCTGTGGCACCTTTTTTTTTTTTCTTCTCACCTCAGTTTCACTGTCCCACACTGGACCAGTGGGCAGTGACTGAGGCCCCTGGAGGCTCTGGGTACCGAATCTCACCCACAGGATGATTTATCAATGAATGCTAGCCTCCCCCCTCCCCCTTTGCCATCCCCAGGTCACCAGCAAGTGGCCATTCCACACTAACCTACCAAAATAGTAAGAAAATGCCATGCATCTGTACCAACAGCCTCAGTGGCGCTTTTATGTATGGTACTGAAAGGATGAATGAGACAAGGCCTTCTAAAGCCATGTTGCACCCCGGCCCTGGTATTTTTTTTTGGTGGGGAGGTCCTACTGGGGTTTGAACTCAGGGCCTTCCAGTTGCTAGGCAAGCATTATAGTTAGGGCTGAGCCATGCCTCCAGCCGCCTACCCTGTTTATTCTTATTCCAGCTCTTGTTCTCTGTTGTCTTCCTTTTATTTCTCAAATAAGTGATGGATTTTGGCTGGTGGAGTGGCCCAAGTGCTAAGAGCGCCTGTCTAGCAAGCGCAAGGTCCTGAGTTCAATCCCCAGTGCTGCCAAAAAAAACGTGATGAATTTTTGTTTCTGCATTTTGTGATTTAAAAATCTGTGATTGCTAATGATGTGACTAGATGTCTAGATTTTTGTTTGGGCCCCCAAATGTTAGGGATATTGATTTATTGATTTTTTTTTTTTTTTTTTTTTTTTTTTTGCTGTACTGGGGTTTGAACTCATGGCCTACACCTTGAACCACTCCACCAACCCTTTTTTTGTGAAGGGTTTTTCAAGATAGGGTCTCGTGAACTATTTGCCCAGGCTGGCTTTGAACCGAGATCCTCCTGATCTCTGCCTCCTGAGTAGCTAGGATTAGAGGCGTGAGCCACCAGCACCCGGCTTTGAGTCTTGTTTTAGAAATGATTCATTGTAGGAACTAAATGCTTGAGCTGAACTCAGCCCTGTTTTAAGTGTCTGTTCCTATGGCTACACACACCTGGAAGCATGGAGTTTAGGTGAAACAGTCCACCCTTGGAGCACGAGCCTCAGCTTTGTCCTGCTAACTTGGGTGCTCCCTCATCTGGGCTACTACATCTCCCATCCCCTGCACAGGACGGTGGGGCCCAAAGGAAGCGGTTCATCTCACAAAATGCCCAGAGACTCAAGGTCAGCAACACGGAAATCATTGCTTTTTTGGTGATGACACCAGCTGCGTGCAGTGCCACAGTGCCTTTTGATTGGTTTCTCAGACGTGTGAACACTAACAGAATAAAATGTTTTAGTGCATGTAGACTGCCATTCAAACCCCAGCCCTTCCTTATGACTTAGTCATTGCTCTTCTCTGTGAATCTGCTCTTTTTCCTTAAATGGAGCTTGCTAATTCTCATCCTTTTTCCTTTCTTTCATGCATGCTTATAACATGGAGGGCAAGCCTGCCTCCCTGCTGACTCATCCCACACTTTTCATATCTTGTCTTCCTCTTGAAGCTTCCCTTAAGGACTCCCACTCCTCTGTGGCTCCCCACTTTAACTCTGTTGCTAAGTCAGTTTGCTAATGAGCTTGTTTGTTCATTCTGTGGAATCAGTGTGCTGCCTCTGTTATCTACTACCATCTGCAACCTGCCAATGGCCCCAAAGGCAATTTCAAACACGGAGAACATTTCAAAATAAAGACGGCCTTGGCCAGAAGTCTGCCAGCTATTTCAATTGGTAAATACGTCCTGGTGTTCTGATGTGAGGTTCCAGACACATGGGATGACCAGAAAACAAGATAAGAAATGCCATATGGCAAAAAGAGAGCGATGACAGGAGACAGCTGTGGGGATGGGACTGGAGCCGGGTCTGGAAGAATGAGTGCCATTTTTGTTTAGATGAAGGAAGAATGAGTGCCATTTTTGTCTAGATGAAATAAAAATGCAAACTTGTTTTTGCACAACGTCTGCTACAGCAGGTCCTCTCTGGACACTGGGTATGAATTTAGGGACAGTTTTAGACTTGGCAAGTCAGGAGGCACTGCTTGAGCTAGCATGATGGTTTCCTGTGCACACGGTGTGTTGATAGATTGAGAGAGCAGAGAGCTCTGTGTAGTGCTCTCTGCAGAGCCAGCACTCAGAAAACCATCTCCCAGGGGGGGGACCTGGGGTTGGGAGCAGAGAAAGCATTCCTGGGGCAGATGCCCAGAGTGGGGACCCTGTCCTCTATGACAAGCTGCTTGGCTCATTTTATCCTGACAATCAGAAGGCAAGTGTCAGGGAGCAGGAAGGAAGAAGCTGATCCCCATCAGAAATCTGGCCAAGCAGCCTCTCATGATGGAAGTGACCTGGGAATTGTTCCACAGCGCTCAAGGGATAAGAATCCTGTGCGCGCTGATCAAACAGGGAACTTCGCCCTACAAAGCAGAAGAGGTGGGTTTTTTCCTTCTTCTTCTTCTTTTGTGGTTTCGCATAACGAATGAGTGACAGTCTCTACTTACAGACTGAGGGAGACGTCAGGCCTGGAGGAGTGAGCGTGGCCTATGTCTCTGGCTCCCCCGCCCTCGTCTCTTTCATTTTACTCTTATCAGAATTCTCTTGCTGGGAGAATCTCCTTGACAGCTTCCCATGCTGTCAGCTCCGTAGACCTCAGCTTCTGAGAAGCAGCCCGAGGGCTGTCGCACCAGAGGAGCTGCCGTGATCCCCAGCATGAGGGCAACCGGCTTCAGGGATGGGGTGCCCAAGGTGAGTTGACGGCTGTGCGCAGCTCCAGGGCGGCGATGGCTGAGAATGCTGACTTTAGTTCTGGGTTTCCAAGGAGAGCAAAAAACGAACGCTAGTAACCCAGAGGCTTGAGATGGGAAAGTTTCACCTCCACCTCGTGTGGGAACTCCCTGCCCTGTAAACCCCCTTGCCAGCTGGCTTTCCAAATGGGTGGAAGATGTCCCAGAAGAAACTAGCTGTGTCCAGCTTTGTGTCCAGTCACCATCCAGCAAGCTTCTGAAGGAAAATGTGGCTCTCTGCCCCAGCCTGCCCCAGTCTCTGCTGCCTGGGGTCCCTGAAGATGCTCGGTGTGGCTCAGGTGTCCTGACTGAGCTCTGTGCTCGCTGCCCCAGAGCAGAGCGCAGCCCCTGGCTCTGCCTTCCACCAAGGACGCCCTGTATGCTGGCTTCGTGTTCATTTGTGTCCTGTAGTGGCCAAGCTGAAACTTTCCTTCTGACTGCACATCTGTGTCATGAGTCAAAAAATTTTCTCTACTTAGAAAGGCAAAGTGGCTACCAAAAAAACTGTGCTAAGACCCAAGGAAAACAAAGCTCTTTATCCTGCCACATTCTTTACAGATCTTAAGTAGTACAGAAAAAAAAAAATAAAATGAAGCAATCACTAAATGAGGAGCCAGCTTCTAAGAATTAAATGAGGGTTGGTGGAGTGGCTCGAGGGGTAAAACGCCTGCCTAGCAAGTGTGAGGCCTTGAGTTCAAACCCCAGTGCCACCAAAAAGAGAGAAAGAGAGATTTATAAGAGTTCAATGTGTCATTTGTCACTATAATAGTAACAGGGAGTGTCAGTAGTGGAGCCTAGGGTCCAGTAGCCCAGGATAGCCTCTTGTATAGATGATGTAAATATGTGTGTTACCTTGGAATTTTGTCCCCAACTACTATTTGCTTTGAAAATATCCAAATCACTGGAAATATGGGAAAAATGGTAACTTAGCAAACCCCCCTACCCCCACCAGCTCCTGGAGCTCTGTCAGACTTGGGTGCATCTCTTTGTATATACTCAGAGCTGGCGCGAGTTTCTTGTGGCCATTTTGCTAAACCATTTGAAAATAAATAGCAACTAGAATGATGCTTCACCCCCAAACACTTGGTCACCTGTCTCCTGAGACAGATCTATGATTTGTTTGTTTGCTTTTCTGATCTCAAAGTTCATTCTGAGATCACATATCGTATTGGTTGTCCTTAATCTAGAATAATCTACTTTTTTTGCTTTCATGACATTCAGCATTTCTCTGAGTGGCCGCGATTGATTTTTATGACTTAGACTTCCTTTTGTCTATGTGCCACTTGTGGCCTAGGTATTTTACATGTCACTTTACAATTTTTGAACAGCATGCGTGCATGCATAGACCATAGTTGGTATTCCCAGCATCTCTGTGAAGGAAGTCCTGCTTCCATATTTTGCAGATGCATAGCTAGCTCTGTCTACACAGCGGGCTCTGTGTGGAAGGCAGGACTCACATTTTCTCACTAAGTCCTCTGCATGAAGCAGAAGTATATGAGGAAACAGCTTAGTTGGTCAAGGCCATGTGCTCCTTAGTGCTGCTGCCAAGGTGAAACCCAGGTGACAGCACCCACTGTCCCAGCTCTCAGCCAGCTCACTGTGTACTGACTTTAGACTAGGGAGCTGCAAAACGCTTCTGCAGAGAGCCAGACAGAGCTGGGGGTGGCCCCAGCACTCAGAAGCAGGAGGATGGTAAGTTTGAGACCAACCTGGGCAACATAGTGAGACCCTGGATGAAAACGAGGCACAGGGCACTTTTTGCTCAAGAAGTCACGTGTGGTCTCTACTGCAGATTCTTCTTCACAACTCTTTAAAAATAGAAATCATTCTGTTTTTTTGGGGGCGGTTGTGTGTGTGTGTGTAGTACTGGGGCTTGAACTCATCAGGGCCTACACCTTGAGCCACTCCACCAGCCCTTTTTTTTGTGATGGGTTTTTTTGAAATAGCGTCTCTCGAACTCTCTGCCTAGGCTAGCTTCAAGCTTCTACCCTCCTGATCTCTATCTCCTGAGTAGCTAGAATCACAGGTGTGAGCCACCGGCGCCTGATCAGTTGTTGTATTTGGTCTCCGGGCTGTAGTGTGCCAGCCAATGTCGTCTCAGCTCAGATAGGCCACCCCTTCCCAATCATGGGGGACCAGAGTGAGAACCCAGATTTCACCCCCTAATCCAGAGATGACTTCAGCTACCTAGGTTTACTCTTTTCTTGGGTATCCTGTTGATGCACATGTAGGATAAGACACTTTTTTTTTTTAATACCAATAGAATCAGTAAGTAAACAACTGTGGGGCTTCTTGCCTTTTGTAATGAACAGTACAGATTATATTAGCTGAACTGATCCACCTCATTCATTTTAATGCCCACGTTATTGTTTAATTGCTTTTTAGGCAGGTGCTTTTACCTCTGAGCCACTCACTCCACCAGCCCATTTAATTGCTTTTTAAATGGTGACACAGTGCTTCAAGACCATCCCATGTAAAATGTCCTCTGCTATAGTGCATTTGACTTTAAAGCCCCTCACTCATTCAGGGCCACCCATTTGGCCTCTGAGCTCTAGGTCGACTGGGGTGACCCAACCAAGGACTCCATAGCAGGAGAGCATTCACAGGTGCACAAAGCATTTACCACCCTGCTTGTTATGCTCTGCTGTGTTTATCTCTGTTTCACAAGACGAGGAGAGCATTTGAAAATAAACACGAGTTGGGTGCTGGTGGCTCATACCTGTAATCCTAGCTACTTGGGAGGCTGAGATTGGGAAGATCAAGGTTCAAGACCAGCCTGGGCAAATAGTTCACAAGACCCCATCTCCAAAATAACCAGAGCAAAATGGACTGGAGGTGTGGCTCAAGTGGCAGAGCACCTGCTTTGCAACCCTGAGTTCAAACCCAAGTTCCACCAAAAAAAAAAAAAAAAAAAAAAAACCCCAAACATGATATTAGCAATAGGAATCCCTGACCTCAAATAGTACAGTTACAGCAAAGACAGAAATCCTTGTGCATAGCCAAGTGACAAATCTGACCTCTCCTTCGTGAACTTAACAAGACTCCAGCCTGCTGGAGAAATGGTAGAAAATTAGTTCTAAAAACAAGGGAAATAAGTGATTTTATTATATGTGAGTCCTTGTTTTGAATTGGATGGTTTATGAAATAGAGTCTGTGGTCCATTAGTGATCGAGCCCTATTTTTGGGAATGGTGTTCATGTCTGTGAGTGTGCATTGTGGGCCTTCAGAGGTGGCTGGAGATTCGAGACTTTGCACACGGCCCTTTTCTCCTATAATGCTTTTCTTCACTTGAGCAAAATGTCCAGGGGTCAAAGTAGGATTACTGAGTTTAAAACATTGTCACTCATTTTCCATCATTTTTCAAAAAATTCTAGCTGAACTTGAGGCTCAAGTGGTTGAGCTCCTGCCTAGCAAGCTCAAGGCCCTGAGTTCAAGTGCCGGTGCCACCACCAAAAAAAAAATTGCTATTTTAGCCCAATCATGAATGGTCTGATATTTGTCTTTTATCACTTGAGTGTTCTTAATTTGTGCCTTCTGCCTGTTAAAGAGCAAGTATCCTCCCATCTTCTTCCAGCTCTGGGTGGATAGTTCTAGACTCACTCAAGGAAGATCAAGATAACGACTTAGAATTAGAGGGTGGAGGGGCCCTCAACATTCTCACTGCTGACTTAGAGACCACAGTATGGCTGTATCAGAGGTGCTGGCCACTGGCCGGGAGGTGACTTGCCTTGGAGCTTCTGGGCCAGGCTTGGTGAGGCTACATCCGAGTGGACAGTAACTTCTGGCTCAGCTTAGACCTTCTCGGTTCTGAGGTAGAAGCAGGACATGGAACACTCGGTCTCTGGGAAAGAGGGCAAGCTGGACCCACCCCAGCCAGCCCTGCTACCTCAGCTCTTTCCCTCATGGTTGCCCACTTCCTTCTCATTCTCTGCCTGGTCTTCACTTAGCAAGAGCGACCCTGTCTCTCCCTGGTGGCTCATGGTTCACGGTCTGTCTCCTTCTCTGGAGAGGAGGCTCCGGGAGGGACAACTTGGGCTTTCATGCTCAGTTCTGCATCTCTAGCACCTACCGCAGTGTGTACACATGGTAGGTACTCAGTAAATGCCTTATGGTATGACACGGAGGTCACAAGGAGGGCAGACGAAGCCCTTGCGACACAATTCCATCACAAGTGCAGGGACAAAACTTCCTAGTCAATAAGGTGTCTGGGAACCTCAGACTCTCAGCTCCCTAGCCCAACCTGGTCCCAGGCTGACCTCCACTCAGCCTTCAGAAATGGCCTCCTCCTGGTCAGACTGTGCTTGAGATTCTAGCCATTGTGATTAAAGTCAAGGTCACAAGGACCTGTGGCCTTGTGACCTTGCCAGCAACTTTGTCCCTTCACTGCCTCAGAGGGCAAAACAGCTATACACAACACCCAACTTGGAACACCACTGAACGTCCTCATTTTCAGCCTTTCATTCAACTCAGAATTTCTGGGCTCCAGGGTTTAGGGTGACAAAGACAGAGCTGGTTTTGCGATAGACTCAGAAAGACAGTAAGTGAGTAAGCAGATACGACTTCAGGTGGTGAAGGGGATACCTGCTATACAGGAAAGAAAACGATAGAAGGCAGTGGACACAAAGGGCCACTTTCGAGATGGAATGAGAGAATGAGAGCATTCCAGGCAGAGGGAGCAGCAGGTGCAAAGACCCTGGGGTGGGAAAGACTTCAGCATAGTACAGTATTCGTAGAAAGGCCAGGGTGGTTGGAGCAGAGTAAACAAGGAGAAAAGTGGCCCAAAATGTGCTGAGCAGGGCCACATAGGGCCTCACTTGCGGTGGCAGAACTTTTGAAGTGCATTCAAGTTGCCGAGGAAGTCACTGGCTCTCTGGAAGCAGGAGAGGACTGGGTCTGGTTTATGGACAATCTGCAGTGGGGAGGGCAGCAGGCAGGAGGTGAATCAGGAAACTCAATGGCAGG